ATGACTTTATCGATCACTCCGAGTCATTTAAAATAATGAAAAAAATTAAGAGAAAAAAAATTTTTTTCTTTACGTTTCAACGGCACAGCCGTCCTCTTCAGAAACTGAAATTTTATTATAATTTATAAATACACGTACATAAAATACTTTTACAAATAAAAAAATTATTTTACAAAAATAAAAATATTTAACAAAAAAATATTTACTAGAGGTGTGCAAAAAGCTCGAATAGCATGGTCGAGCTCGAGCCGGGCTCGATACTCGAGTCAGGCTCGAGTTTTAGTTACTCAAAAATATTTGAGTGCTCGAAAAATTCAAGTGCTCAAAATTATTTTAGGTTTAATACTGCACGTGTCGGGTGGAATTTGGTTCAAGTTCGGATTGATTCTGCTCAGCTCTGCTAGAAAAACGAAAAGCTTGAAATACTCGATCGAGCTTTTTGCACAACTCTAATATTTACCATTGAAAAAAATATTAAATTTAGAAATATTAAATTTTATTAAATTTTATTATTAAATTTTAAATTTATAAATTTAGAATAATTCGTTTAATTTAATTTAATTTCCTTTTATTTAGGTATATAAATTAATTAAAAAATCTGTCTTAAAATAATTAAATTAATCGTTTAATAAATTGAATTTGTTTTTTACTTAAATTCGTTTTGAATGGGGAAATAATTTAGTTTTCAACATTTGAAACAATTTAAAAGTTGCATTTGAATAAAAATTACAATTTTTTGTTAATAAGAAACATATTTGTTAAATTTTTCTTTATGTTATCAAAATTTTTTTTTGTTGACAGAATTTTGCAAATTTTATTCAAAAGCAACTTTTAAATTGTTTCAAATATTAAAAATTAAATTTTTTACCCATTCATCAAAATGAATTTAAACTTTAAAGTTTAATGAGAAACGTTAGCAATAAAAATAAACAATACAAATTTCACATAAATTCAATTATTTACAAATTATTTCTATGTATTATTCAATTATTTTCATAAATAATAACATTTTTTTCAGGGATTCAATTATTTTCATAAATAATAAAATTCAATGCTGAATTTCAATTATTTTTAATGCAATTTTAATGGAATTCCTCGAAAAAAGTTATTATTCCTTAAAATTTTATTAAAATTTATCAAAGATATTTAATTATTTTCATAACCTTTGCTATAATTTATTTTTAAAAATTTAAGTATTATTTTCAATATCTACATTTTTAATTAAATTTCTTTAAAGAATAAAATTATTTTCAAAAATTTTAATGAAATTCTTTGCGTAACAACTCAATTTTTTTTCAAAATAATTTTAATAAAATTCTTCGCAGAAATCCAATTATGTTTAAAAATTTACAAAAATTCTCATCAAAATTTCAATTATCTTTATAAATAATAAAATTTTTCTCCGCAATTCGATTATTTTCAAAACTTTTAATAAAATTCTTGGAATAATTTCAATTATTTTTAATACAATTTTCATTAAATTTCTCAAAAAATACAATTATTCTTAAAAATTTTATTAAAGTTTATCAAGAGAATTCAATTATTTAAAAATTTGTTAATAAAATTCTTTATGAAAATTCAATTGTTTAATAAAATATTTATTTTTATAGTTAAATAATTGAATTCTCGTAGAATTTTCTAATAAATATTAATTTAAAAATGAATTTCAAATTAAAATCTTTGAAAATTTGAACTTTTCATACTTTTAATTAAAAATTCTATAGAATTAATTTTTCTCAATAAATTTAATGGATTTTTTTTTTAATTATTTGAAGTTTTTAATTTCTAATCTTTTTAATTGAAGAATGTCAGAATAATCGAAATTTCGTAAAATTAAATTGTAAACAAAAGAATTTGAAAATTCACAAAGAACTTTTTCAAAAGTTATTTTTAAAAAATTGAAGAATTTTAGTTGAAAACTCTAGAAATGAATTATCCCAATGATGAAAATAATTTTTGAAGAATTCACAGGAACAAAGTAGCAAGACATGAAGAAATATCTTTTTATTTTATAATAATAATATTATTATATGTTATTGAATTTCAAATTTTTTAATATCTTAATTTCTTTGAAAAAAAAAATGATTAAATATTTATTTAAAAATAAAGTTATTGATGTTTTCGATTAATTTCTTTATTTAAAACCTGGAAAAATTCCATTTTTTAACCTGGAAAACATGGAAAAGTCAGGGAATTTGAAAAGAGTAAAAGTGTGGCAACCTTGTGTAAAATTAATTGAAGAATCGTAAATAATGTTCGTTTCTTGCAAATGCAGTTTTTTATTTTAAAATTGACATTTTTCCACTAAAAGATGTTTATAATTTTATTATTTTCCATTCTAATTTTGTAACATGAAGTCAGTAAATTATTAAAGGAAGCAATTTTGTAATCGAATTTTTATCAATTAATTAACGGAATCCCTAAATGAATATTTAATCCATTGTATCCTAATATGTTAGGAGAATATTATATGTGTATCTGTACACACATTTTCACATATAAAGGCACATATAAGTATATATAGGCACATATAAACATGTATATTCACATATACACATATTTACACACATATAGGTACATATATTTATACATAGGCACATGTGAACATATGAATGCACATATACACATATAGGCACATATAAACATATATATTCACATATACAAATATTTACACACCTATAGGTACATATATTTATACATAGGCACATGTGAACATATGTATGCACATATACACATACAGGCACATATAAACATATATATTCACATATACACATACCCACATAGCACAACTTTTCACTGTAAGGTTACCTGAGACGACATCTGTAGGGCTTGTAAGGTTATCAAGTAAGAGTGTGGTAAACACGATGAAGTCTAAAAACTTCCGCCTTACTGTAGCCTTACACATGAAAGTCACTGTAAGCTTACACAGTAAAGTCACTGTAAGCTTACACGGTAAGGTCATTGTAAGCTTACACAGTACAGTTACTGTAGGGTTACACGGTAAGGCCACTGTAAGCTTACACGTAAGGTTATGGTAAGGTTATACTGTAAGGCTGTGGTAAGGTTATTATTAAGTTGTAATGTTGAGGTAAGGTTGTGGTAAGTTTACAAATTATAGAAAATATTAACAAAATAATTAATAATCTAATTAAAAAATAAATATTAAAAAAAATTAAGTTTGTTGCTTTTCTAAATTTTGGAAACCTAACATGAAACAGAAAATTTTGGAAACAAATTTGGGGGCACTAGGACTCGAACCCGGGATCGACGCGCATAAACCTAACACTCTAACTAACTGAGCTAAGTGGGGAACTGAGGAAGAGAAAATCAATTTTGCTTTTAAGGAGTTAGCTCTCTTCTTAGTGCACCTTAAAAGCAAAATTGATTTTCTCTTCCTCAGTTCCCCACTTAGCTCAGTTAGTTAGAGTGTTAGGTTTATGCGCGTCGATCCCGGGTTCGAGTCCTAGTGCCCCCAAATTTGTTTCCAAAATTTTCTGTTTCATGTTAGGTTTCCAAAATTTAGAAAAGCAACAAACTTAATTTTTTTTAATATTTATTTTTTAATTAGATTATTAATTATTTTGTTAATATTTTCTATAATTTGTAAACTTACCACAACCTTACCTCAACATTACAACTTAATAATAACCTTACCACAGCCTTACAGTATAACCTTACCATAACCTTACGTGTAAGCTTACAGTGGCCTTACCGTGTAACCCTACAGTAACTGTACTGTGTAAGCTTACAATGACCTTACCGTGTAAGCTTACAGTGACTTTACTGTGTAAGCTTACAGTGACTTTCATGTGTAAGGCTACAGTAAGGCGGAAGTTTTTAGACTTCATCGTGTTTACCACACTCTTACTTGATAACCTTACAAGCCCTACAGATGTCGTCTCAGGTAACCTTACAGTGAAAAGTTGTGCTATGTGGGTATACACATATTTACACACATATAAGCATATAAAGGCACATATAAACAAATATATTCACATATAAACATATACATGCACATATAAACATATATATTCACATATACACATATTTACACACATATAGGCACATATAAGTATATAAAGGCATATACAAACATATATATTCACATATAAACATATACATTCACATATAAACGTACACATGCGCATAAATACTATTCACATACATACATTCACACATATACATCCTACACACATTTATACCCACATTCACACATATATAAAACACCCACACAATGCGCAACGCATGCGTGTTGAAATATTTACAAGATCAATGCCAAACAGATGATTTTTTTCAAAGATTAAACTAAAAAATATCGTGTAAAACATAATTTTAAATAAAATGTTTGCAAATAAAATAAATTAAATTCCAAATAGAAATTAAAGGAATTTCCTTTCAAAGAGCATCGAGTCCTTTTTCGTGATTTGTAGGTGGCGCTTTGACGGGAGAGTACTACACTCTGCTTCCTTCCTTGTGCTCACTTTATTCGTCAAGTCGCATCAAGTTGTGCTGTGTATTAAAGAAATTTTTTTTTCCATTTTCACTCAAAGTAAATATAGTAAATTAACGAAGAAATGGTAGACCTGAGTGGGGAAGGTCCATTAGAACATGGTTTCAGTAATGCTGTTTTTATTTTTCCCGCCCTAATAGTTGTGGGTCTGTCAGGTATTCAAAAAAGAAAAAAAAATTTTTATTTGCATTTCAGTATTGTTTTTTTTAAAAAAATAATTATGCACGCTGTAAACATATCTTTTTCCTAAGCAACTATTTATGAAATTTACCCTAATTTCCAAAATTCACTCTAAAATAAAAATGTTTTTATTATTTTGTATTTATTATTTTATTCCATAAAATGTATTTTTATCTATAGTTTTTCTTTTTTTTATGTTATTTTATGCTATTTTAGTTATGTACCGTTAACATATGCTTTATACACTGTTTGCTAGTTTTAAATATATGCTTTTTTATTTATTTACAGTTATATTCATGCATCAGCATTAAGGTGTATACGTGTATATATGTGTAATTATTACGCATACATATAATACATATATGTGTAGGAAAATAAAATGTGAATTCGTTTTGTGTGTTATAAATGTAAAATATAAGTTTCCAAATAGAAAATTAATTATTTGACAGAACTACATTATAATTTTTATTTGATCTAATATATCAAGGTTTGTGTACACGTATCAGAAAGCCACGTTGGCCACGTTGGCCTGTTGATAGTTCCCTATCATTCAGTTCATTTCTTGTTCTCTGATCGTCTCTGTAATACATCTTCTTAAAATATTTTTCATTCGTCAGAAGAAATTAGTTCCAAGTGAAACAATTCAATAAGTGTTTATAGTATTTTCAAATTAAATTATAAAGGTATGCAACTTATTTATCAAAACAAAATAACAGATTTTTTAATATAATACATTATAATACAATATAATATAATATTATTATGATATATAATAATATTATATCATTTTCAAATTATTATATTATATTCTTTATTATAATATAGTATAATTTAATAAAATGTAATGTAATATAATATATAATATAATATAATATAATATAATATAATATAATATAATATAATATAATATAATATAATATAATATAATATAATATAATATAATATAATATATTTAGAGAATATAAATGATAAATCTTGTTTTTATTATTTTACTATTTTAAAGTAAATAAAATACTTTATAATAAACTATTTTTTTCATTTAATTTTTTTTATATTCGGTATTGAAAAATACCGAAAAGTATTCTTTTTTATTTCTCTTAAATATACATGAAGTAGTAAATAAATAATAAACTAACATAAACTGAATAATAAAAATTAATTAATTAATACTGATGAATAAAAATTAATTAATTAATATAAAGTTCTTTTTAAAAATAAAATAAAATAAAATTTTCTTAAAATAAAAGAAAAAAATCGTTTTTCACATACATTTTTTTAAATGTTAATGATTATTTATCAAAATTTATTAAAGTGTAATTTTACTCACTTCTCTTTAATGTAAATTTTATTTTTAACAGAAATGTTAATTTTCAAAATTTTTGTCTTTTATTCAAATTTAATTAATTACAATTACAAAATTACATTTTACGGGTAATTAATATGGAACATATGTTTGAAAAAATTTGTAAGTTTCTTTGCTTGTGAATAGTAATTAATTAAATAATTACCTTAATTTTTAATTAAGAAACTAATAAATGAATATAATTTATAAATTAATTAATAAAGTTATTTAAATTAATAATAAGTTCTAAATTAATAACGAGAATAAGTCCCTAACGTTTTGAACTTTCAAATGAACGACGATATTTTTTGTTACTTCTTGTAATTTGCATTTTTGTACAAGAATATTATTTTTTATATTAAAAATAAAAATTTTTTTTAAGTAAATAAATTCAGAATTAACCTTGCTTTACAATTTAATATTTAATTTTTTAAAATATTTAAATATAAAAAAACTTCGTATATTTGATAGTTGAAAATTTTAGTGACATAGGAAAAGAATAGTTATTTAAATATTTTTTAATTATTATTCATGATTATTAAAAAACTATTAAAAATGTAATTTTAATAAGTTCTCTTTAATGTAAATTTTATTTTCAACACGAATTGTGTGCTAATGTTTAACATGTCTTTCGTTTAGAATTGAATTAATAAATTTGAATTTTACTTATAGCAAATATGGAACATATGTTTGAAAAATGTTTAACTTGAAATTATTTGAATTATTGTTAAATTATATTATAATTTATAATTCTTTATTATATTATAATAATTAATAATAGAAATATTAATTAGTTAATAATATAAATTATATTATATCAAATTATATTAAAATTATTTTTAAATAACAAATTATCTTCGTTAATTATTAATATTAGTAAATAATAACCATGATTAATTATTAATTAATAAAAAAATAATTACCGTCACTTGTACTAATTTTGTATTTTAATCATTTAATTAAAAAAACAGAACATACCCTGATTAATTATTAATTACTAAAAAAATAACTACCTTTGTTAGTTATTAATTAATATTAATTACCTCCATTAATTATTAATAAACAATTATCTTAACTAATAGATAATTGCCTTCAGCAGTTATTAATTAATACGTAATTGACCCAATTAATTACTAATTACCAAAAATGAATTACCTTCACTTGCATACTAATTTCGTGATTTAAATTATTAAATTAAAAGAAAACAGGATGTGGAGAATACTTTTGCTCGGTTTGACTGGTTTCGTGTCTGCTCAAGAAATTGACGATGACGAGGTTGTCGTTAGTGATGAGCCTGAAAATAAAATTCCCAGTCCACAAGATCTTCTGAAAATGTTAAATTCAATGGGACTATCAGAGGAAGAAAAAAACAAATTACGTGAAGATATAATGAAATCTCAAGGTGGTCACGTCGAGTCTGATTCTGATACTGTGGAGGCCTACACGTCGTCTGCCTTTTTTTCACAAACTGTTGTTCTTCTGCTTTTGTTGTCCGTTATTACTTCGATATTTGGTAATTAAATATATTTCATTTTTCAAAACAATATTTTCACGGGAATATTTTTAAAAATATTTTTCAGAATATTTTTAAGCATATTTTCTAGAATATTTTCCAGAAGATTTTTTTAGAATATATTTATATTTTGAAAAATATTTTTTAGAATATTTTAAAAAATATTTTTTAGAATATTTTGAAAAATATTTTTTAGAATATTTTTCAGAAGATTTTTGATGAGTATTTTTCAGAATATTCTTCTTATTTATATCCCCAGTTATATCGGGTTTTTTTTTATATCTGTTCCATTAATACATTTATCTTATCATTATTAGTACAATTGATCTAAAAACTTTCGACAGTCTTTCATAAACTTTTCTAGAATAATCACATAATTAAAACGCGTATACAAAGTGACAAAATCAATAGAAAAAAAAAATGGCAGAAATATTGGAAAAATTACAAAATAGCGAAATTCATAATAAACTTTTAAATATAATTGACAATTACAAAGAATTAAAAGACGAAGAAAAATGGCGTTTTAACGAAGCGATAAAAGATATTTTTAAAAAGACATTAAACAATTTGGTAAATCGTAGAAATAAATCAAGCACATGGCTGACGCTCACAGACAGTCGTATCACATTCCTACTCGCAATAATTATTATTAATTTTCTATTTGGTACTTAATCATTTTCCGAAACATAAAATTTTAATAGTAATATTGATAAATTAATTTATTACTATTGATTTCAATTTTTAATAATAATAATAATAATATTAAAACTTTCATTGAATTCAATAATAATATTAAATTTTTATTACTAAATAATAATAATAATAATAATAATAATAATAATAATAATAATAATAATAATAATAATAATAAATCAATTATTTAATTAATTTATTATTCACGAAAAAATTTTTTCCTCGAATAGCGACAAGTTTCTCTAAAATAGCAAAAGTATTAAATTAATTGAAATAACTAAAAATTTCGCTAATTTAGTAAAATTTCCATTTGTTCCAGGTGAAGATTTTTTTAGTGTTTAATTATTTTATTATTGTTATTATTATTATTATTTTTTTTTATTTTTATTTTTATTTTTATTTTTATTTTTATTTTTATTTTTATTTTTATTTTTATTTTTATTTTTATTTTTATTTTTATTTTTATTTTTATTTTTATTTTTATTTTTATTTTTATTAATTATTAATTATTATTATTAATTGTTATGATTATTAATTTAATTAAATTTTTAATTCCCCCCAATTGAATATTGTAAAAATTTTCCTAAAATTTACAGTTTTCTTTGGCTACAAACTATATAAAAGTTTGTCCGACCGAGAGAGAAAACGAGAAGAAAAGAAGAAAATGAAGCAATTGAAGAAGAAGAAGTAGAAAAAGAACGCCAACAAATGAAATAACGAAGAATCAAAAACAGCATGTGTTCTAAAAAAGGCAAAAAAAAAAAAATTGCAATGAAAAAAAAAAAGTTTGATGTTTGGTATCAACAAAGAGAATGAAACCACGAAATGTTTTGTTACGTTATCAAAGGTTTATATCTCATGTACAATAATTAAACATTCCTTATTTTATTTGTATTAACTATATTTTGTTAAATAAATTGACTATTTCTCAAAAAAACCAAAAAAAAAATTGTTCCCTTCTAAAAAAAAACAAAAAAAAATCCCCTCAAAGGATTTAATAATAAAATTTCCACCCATTCTGTTAATAAGTAAATTTTTATTGTCTCATGCACGAGAGAAAATATATTTAAACATTTTTCAAAAGGGATCATCACGCCCAGGAGCATTTTTAAAAAAAAATATATACTTTTTTATTCTCGATATTTTTTTCAATTTGAAAAATTACGCGATATATTTTTCTTTTTTACATTGCCACTGGATATTGGCTTATCGTATCGGCCTAAATTACAAATATCTAAAATTTAATAATATAAATAGTAAAACAATTGAAGAGGCGCAATACTTTTGTATAAAATAATTATTTCTAGTTTCGAGTTCTTCTTTTTTTTTTTTTGTAGCGCTTAATACGTAGTAATAACAATTAAATTTCTTTATAAAATAAATATATTTTTTTACATACTTTAATTTGAGAGAAAAAAGTAACAAATAAGAATAATGCAGATCATATAATCGTCATCACGATTAAGGCACGATTAATTAAAAGTAATTCTTTTTTTTTTTTTTTTAATAACTAAGAAGGAGTATTTTTGCTCTTTACACAAAAAAACATAATAAAACATCTAGTTTGAATTAAATTATATACGAAAATTGAGTGAAAAATGAAAGTATATTAAATAAATATCTTATTTTGTATAATTTTTCTGGTAATGAACACTTTGAAATAATTAATCTAAAATTGATAAATTGTCCTTATAATTGTAAGGACAAATGTTATGATGTATAAAAGTATATACGGTATGATGATAAAACTTTTCTGACAAATGGCGATAAAATTATATAATAGATATTATAAGATATGTATTTTATATCTTAGAAAAAAAAAGAAATAATAAATTCAAATATTAATAGGTAAATCCAATTTTTCTCTTGCTCGACATTTAAAAAAAAAATGAGCAAAAATAGACTTTTGATTTTTGTTTTCGTAGTTTATTTTTTCGTTCGGCTTGTTTTCAATATATGGCTTTCCGTGGTTTCAGCACGAAGAAGGCTTTAGAAGCAATTTGTATCGGTCACTATTTACATCTGCAAAGGAAAAAATCAAATTTAGTGGGAGAAATTTAAAATAAGTTGAGAAAAATATTATTATTTACTGTAATATCTTTGTTTTCAATTTTCGTATTCGACACTATGCGTTCAAATGAACAAAAATGACGAAAGTCAAAACTAAAGTTAGTTTATAATTTTCATATTTAAAAATAAAAAGACAAATTAAATTGTTTTCCTTTGGTAGAATTGTAAAGAATTTAATTTTAATTTTCAATATTTTTAAATTTTTTATAATAATTTTACTTCGATTGTTAAAAAACTAATTTATGAAGTTTAAAAATATTTAATTTATAATTTTACTCTTTAATTCAGTCTGTAATTTTTAAAAATATTTGTATCGTAAAATTAATCCGTTTATTTGAATGATTCACCGCTTCTGAACGTATTTTTTTTTTTTTGCTAATATGAATATTTTTAAAAATTAAAAACTGTTGTAAAAAAAAATTTCTTTTGAAGTTTCAAACGTTCAAACAAATGAAATATTCCTTTTTGTTTCAATATTTTTATAAATTCTAATAATTCTAAAGTTTTGAACGTTCAAAATGAACGAAATTTTTTTATTTCTTCTTCAAATTAAAATTTTATTGCAAAAATATAGAGCAAAGTAGTAGTAAAAAATAAATTTTAAAACTTCAAATTTTGTTTGTTTTTTAAATTTAATTGTTTGTGTTTTTTATAAGAGTTAGTAATTTTAATACACACTGAAAAAAATTTGGTTCATTTGAACTTTGAAACTTGTGGAGAATAATTTACTAAACTAAAATAAAAAATATTGAAATTGAACATTTATTTAGATAAATTTTTTTTTTAATTATAAAAAGAGTTAGTAAAAAGACAGACTAACTATAATCGTCGAAAAAGCAAAAAGAGAAAGAAATCTGAAGTAGAAATAAATTTCCTTCACTTTAACCTTTAACGTTCAAAACTTCAGGGAAACTAATTTCAAAATTTAATTTCGAACTCCGAACTTTCAAAATTGTTCGATTTTGTAAGGAAAAAAAAATTCGATTTTGGAACAAAAAATTTTCTCAAGAACTCTATTACTGACCTTTGATAGTTTCAACAAAATACATGTTTTCATCCTTCATATTCGCCACCAATTCGTTAGTGACCAGAATATGGATTCCTTGTGGACCGAGCAGGAGCATAGAGTGCAATCTTTCCTGAGGCAAATTCAGTGTTTTAACTAGTTTACTAGTTAGAGAAGCACTAGTAAGACTTTCCAAGTAAACAACTCGCCAAAGGGAATTGTTGCCCTCAGTTGAGAAATAGAGACTCAATTTGGGCACCGGTGCTTTCGAGTGCAAACAATTATATAGTCTAATTCCATCAGCTAAACCACAAATTTGAATCAAGTCATCTCGTGATAAGCGTAGAATATCAGAAGCTGAAAAACTTGCAAACGTTGATTCAAACGTTTGGAAACGCGCCGCTCGTAGCCAGGCTGATGTTTGCGATGCATTTGCGTCTGGCGATAAATCCAAAGGGTACGAGACAACCTGAAATTCAACAAAAATGATTCAATTCTGTATTATTATCAAAATACATGAAATTTACAACTTTTTTTGTTTTTAGTTAAAAATTCATTAATTAGACTTTTATTTTTTTCTGAATTAGATTAAAAAAGATACTATTTCTGTTTTTTTAGGGGAATTTTTAATACTTTAAATTCGCTAATACTAGAAATCAAAAAACTATTCTCAAAAATTGTAATCAAATTCTTTAAAACGATTCAATTATTTTCAATATCTATAGTATTTTCATAAATTTTCCCAAAAGAATTCAATTATTTAAAAAAAAATTGATAAAATTCACCCAAAATTCAATTATTTTCATAAATAATAAAATTTCCAAAGGAATTCAATTAATTTAGAAAAGCATTTACAAAGAAATTTCGAAAAAAAATCAATTATTTAACAAAATTTTTATACAATTCTTCACAATAATTCAATTACTTTCACTAATAATAACATTTTTCATGTAAATTCAATTTTTTAACAAAATTTTTGTTAAAATTCTAAGAAACAATTCAATTATTTTCATAAATAATAAAAATCATCGAAGAACTTCAATTATTTTTAATACTATTTTAAATTAATTAATCGAAAAATTCAATTATTTTTACAAATAAAATTTTAAAAAAGAATTTTTTCTGAAATGTTATCTTATAAAAGAATGCAATTATTTAAAATAAAATTTCCATAATTATTTATTATATTTAGAAAAAATAAATTATTTAAAACAAGATTTATTAAATTCTTATGAAGAATTCAATTATTATCAAAAATAACAAAATTTTTCACAGAATTTCAATTCTTTTCAAACATTTTAATAAATTTTTTCGTAACAATTCAATTATTTTCATAAATAATTATATTCTTCTCAGGAATTCAATTATTTTTAAAAATTTTAATAAAATTCTTAGCAACTATTCAATTATTTTCATAAATAATAAAATTCATTGCAGAATTTCAATTATTTTTAATACAATTTTACAGGAATTGCTGAAAAAATTGAAATTATTCTTAAAAATTTTAATTACAATTCCTCGAAAAAATCAATTATTTAAAAAAATGTTTTTTTAAAATTCTTTGGAAGAATTGAATTATTTACAAGTGTATTTAAATTTTTCACAGGAATTCAATTATTTACTAATATTTTAATAAAATGTTTCGAAAGAAATAAATTATTTTAAACACAATTTTAATTAAATTTTTTAAAAATAATTCAATTATTCTTTTAGATTTTAATAAAATTCTTTTCAAGAATTCATTATTTCTATAAATAATAAAACTCATCGAAGAATTTCAATTATTTTTAATACTATTTTAAGTTAATTAATCGAAAAATTCAATTATTTTTACAAATAAAGTTTTTCACAAGAATTCAATTATTTAAAATAAAATGTTCATAATATTTATTATATTTCGAAAAAATTAATTATTTAAAACAATGTTTATAAAATTCTTATGAAAATATAATTCAATTATTTTCAAAAATAACGAAATTTTCCACAGAAATTAAATTCTTTTTAAACGTTTTAATAAAATTTCTCGCAATAATTCAATTATTTTCATAAATTATATTCTTATCAGGAATTCAATTATTTTTAAAAATTTTAATAAAATTCTTAGGAACTATTCAATTATTTTTATAAAAAAAAATTAATTGCAGGATTTCAATTATTTTTAATATAGTTTTACAGGAATTGATTAAAAGAATGTAATTATTTTTAAAAATTTAATTTCAATTCCTCGAAAAAATCAATTATTTAAAAGAATGTTTTTTTTAAATTCTTTGGAAGAATTCAATTATTTACAAAAATATTAGAATTTTTCACAGGAATTCAATTATTTTCAAATATTTTAATAAAATTGTTCGAAAGAAATAATTTATTTTAAATACAATTTTAATTAAATTTTTTTTAAATAATTCAATTATTCTTTTGGACTTTAATTAAAATTCTTTCCAAGATTTGAATTATTTACATAAATAATTCTTCGAAAGAATTGAATTTTGTTAATAAATAACAAAATTATTACCGAAAATTCAATTATTTTGACTTTGAGGCATTTAAATAAAATTTTTTGCAAAATTCAATTATTTTCATAAATAACAAAATTCATAACAAGAATTCAATTATTTTTAATTATAATAAATTTTTTCTTGGAAATTCAATTATTTTAAATACTCTAATAAACTCGTTCACAAGAATTCAATTATTTTTATAAATAATAAAAATGCTTTTTAGGAATTCAATTATTTTCAAAAAAAAATTTAATGAAATACCACACAGACATTTAATTAGTGTCAAAAATTTTAATAGCATTCTTTGTAAAATTTTTTTATTTTTAGAAACTATTCGCAATTTAATGATTTTCAATATCTACAATTTTCATAAGATTTCCAAACAGAATTCGATTAATTAAAAAAAATGTTGTAAAAATCTTCGTAAGAATTTAATTCTTTTCTTGAATAATACAAATTTCTCAGGAATTTAATTATTTAAATTAGAATTTCCATAAAATTAGTCGAAAGAAATCAATTATTTAAAAAATTTTTTAAAATTCTACGCAAGAATTAAATTATTTTTATAAATATTTAAATTCTTTCATGAATAATAAAATTCGTTGCAGGAATTAAATTTATTAGCAGGATAAGAAAGAAGTAAATATTTTTTATGAAAATCAGAAAAAAGTCAGGAAAATAAGATATAGAATGAAATTTTTGTCAGTTTTGTAAAGTGTCTAAAACGGATTTTTTTTGTCTTCAAGTTTAATTTTTCGATAGCAACTTTTTTACTTCTTTTTTTAGTTTGAAAGCTACTTTTTACCACTTTTTTAAAATTAATTATCGAATGCAAAGTCTGTCTTTATTTTTAGTTAAAAATTCTTTAATCAGACTTTTATTTTTTTCTGAATTAGATTAGAAACATTAATTAAATGAATGATATTGTATAATAATTAAATGAATTAGATGAAAACATTGAAAAGTGAATACTAACGTTTGTATCGACAGAACAGGATTGTTCTGGAATTATTGCAGCTGGAGATGGGAGCGCAGGTGCTTGTATGGGATCCTCTTTTACAGACTCGGAAGCTGGTACAATTGGCAGAACGCCCGTGTTACCCACAGAGAGTGATAGAGGAGTTAAAATTGGCGAAGAACTGCCGCTAATTGTAGTTCGACTTTGGGGTGATCTGCAATAAACAAAAAAAAAAAATTATACATTATTTCCTAGTGGAAAAAGAAAAATAAAACTTTTAAAACTATAGTTATTAGTAAATTTTGGAAAGCTACTTTGGATTTCTGCCATTTTTTACGTCTGTCTATTGTCAAACAGTTTATATTCAATGTCTCTTGAGTAATAAACTCTTTCACAATCCAAACATTTCGATACTAATTCTGAAACTATTTTAATTTTCCAACAAAAAAGACTCATAATAAGACAAAAAATTTCTTATTAATTTTTTGAAGAATTTTTTATGAAAAATATGGAAAATAATTGAATTCTTTAGAGGAATTTAATTACAATTGTATTAAAAATAATTGATTTCTTTCGAAGAATTTTAATAAAATTTTTAAAAATAACATTTTCAGTGAATTTCGTTACAATTTTATTAAAAATAATTGAATTCTTGTAAAAAATTTTTTTTAATTTAAAAGAATAATTGAATTTATGCGAATAATTGAATTGAAATTGTATTAATAATAACTGAATTCTTGAGATCAAGTTTATTATTTATGATAATAATTAAATTTTTATAACAAATTTTTATTAATATTAATTTTTAATTTTTGAAAATACTGAATGAATTTTATTAAAATACTTTAAATAATTGTATCTCTATGAAAATTTTATTATTTATAAAAGTAATTAAATATTTGCGTAGAATTGTATAAAAGTTTTTTTTTTAAATAATTGAATTCTTTTGAAAATTGTTATTAAAATAGTAAATATTTAAAAATCATTGAATTGTGGAAAATTTTCGAAAACAATTAAATTTTTGCCAAGAATTTTATTTAAATTTTTGAAAATAATTGAATTTTAGAGAAGAATTTTTATTATTTATAAAAATAATTGAAATTTTGACGAGAATTTTTTTTGAATTTTTGAACAAAATTGAATTTCTACGAAGAATTTTATTACTTTTGAAAATAATTGAATTTCTGCAATAATTTCTAACTTCTCCAAAATTCAATTTTTTTTAGTGTTTTTTAACTAAAATTCTTCTCTAAATCCATTATTTTTAATAATTAATTAAATATTGAAAAATTTAACTAATGTCAGAAGAATTTGAATTATTAAAATTTTTCAAAAATCTAAGTTTTTTAAAATTTCTAATTAAATCATAATTTTTTAATTATTTCTAATTAAATAATAATCTAATAAATTATTATTAGATTATTATTATTATTTTATTATTTGAATAAAATTCAAATAATTTTGAAATATTTAAGTAAAATTATTCATTAAATAATTTATAAATAATAATTAGGTCTTGAAGAATTAAGTACTTTTAATAAAAATCCCTGACCTTTTTATAATTTCCCTGACCTGTGGTAACCTTACTATTTTAATTTTCATATACAAAAAAACTCAAAAAAAAAATATTTAAAATAACGTATTTATTACGTGTATATTTGTCTCTTAAACCAAATAGGAAATTTGTTGCAAAAAAAAGTTGAAATAAACAATTTCTAATTAATTTTTCTTCTCCATAAACGTCCAGCAATTTTTGTCAATTTACTTAAATTTGAAATAAAATAAAAATAGAAAAAAAATTTATTCCGTTGTAACAGATCATAAAAAACAGTAGTTTTCCCAAAATACTTCTAATCTCCAACTTCCCAGTCATAAAGTGAAAAGTACATTAATTACCAAGTAAAAATTTCTCTTAATGAAAATGAACTCAATTCTTTTTTTTTCTTTTTCTTAAAGTAAATTGTAATTCCAAACTAGAAGAGAATAACAATTTAGTTACGTAAGCATCTTAACTACATTTGAAAAAGAGTAATTATCATGTGCGTGTCTAATACATTTAACATCTGCAAAAAAAAAAAAAAAAAGAGAAAAGATAAGTAATATTATTTTATCGCAATTTATTTTTGCATTAATTCTTACATGGCGTTCTTCTCTAAATGGAACATGCACTTAGGTAAGGCCTTGGTACCAATTCTTTTCGTAGTGTTGATAATACTACGATTTCTCCTCCTCAATGTGAGACTGATTAATCCCCCACGACAAACGGTACGAAATCCATAACGATTTTGCGGCAGTACATGAACAAATTTAGCGACAACTTCAATTCCAGTTAATTCGCTGCCAACTGTCACCTCGTGCTCCAATAAATAAACAGAGAGACTCTTTGTTTCTCTACGTGGTGCTCGCACAGACCAGCAGCTCTTTAAATTCCAATGCGAATTTTTTACCATTTCGAGATTAGTTTTTATTATTCGAGAAATTTCCTTTATTCTTATTTGAAATTAAATTTTTATCTTAATTTCATTATTTGAACAAAAAGCCATTGTTGGAATTTGAATTCGTTTCGGGAATAAATGTTAATTTATTCATTTTCCTCCAATGATAGTCTTTAATTGTCATTAGACAATTCTTAGACTCATAAAAGTTGTATCATTTCAGTCTATCTCTCTCAGTCTCTATAAATTAATAGTAATTCTAAAAGGTTAGCCTCAAAGACCCAGATGAATTCTTGAAGAAAAATGTTATAATATCCGCAATTAGTTTTTAAATTAATTTGAACCAGATTTTGAATTGATTTCGAATTTTACTTGTCCTTTTAAAACAAGTATAGCGATGAGAGAGAAAAATCGTGTATTAAATAGTTCATTAAAAAAAAAAAACAGTCTTTCGAAAATGAAAAATATTATCACAGGAAACAAAAAATTCGAAAGCAAAGATCTCCTATATTGTCAGTTAGGTGCGGTCTCAACCAGAATCTTTATTTATATTAATAAAACTTTTAAAACTGGATATCACCAATACTGACCGTTTACAATGAGATACAGTGTTTGAAATGTTATTTCTTTTCGTTTCCTTATTCTCTTAAGCTTTCTTAACTCCACTTGAATCTGGATATTTCCAGGCGAGGTTAACAATGACCTCCTCCCCCTCCCTGTCGACCTGTTTTTCTTCCAACCTTGATTATCTTCTTTTTATAGCCATTTTCGCGGTTTTCTTCTTTTTTTTTTTAGAAAAAGAAACTTATTTCGTCAGGTTCTCGATGAATGAAAATTCGAGCATCTTTATGGTAAATTTTTTTCTTTATTTGTTCATTCACGTGGGCAAACGGAAAAACTCAGTTTGTTTTTGGGGTAAGAAAAATTCACGTGTTGTTTTTAGATTTCGGTTTTTCGATCTGAGTGTAACCGCCCTGGCATCAGCTGTTTGGCGGTCAAGCTACTCGTCATCTGAGGAGGTGATCCTGTCGTGAGAGGAGAATTTTGCTGGCCTGATTCTTCTCGAAGTAGACAATTTTAATTTTAGGTCGAGAGATAATTGTCGATTTGCAAAATATTAGCAAACAAGGAGTCGTTGAACCGCGGGTAACCATTCCAGTGCTGATGGTGACAATTTTGAGAGAAAGAAGAATTCACTTGCCAAACAAGGTTTCTTGCTCGCTGTTCTTTTTCACTTTCACTTGTATTCGCAATTTCACTTTGTTTGTGTTACAAAACAGTCGGTTGAACCCAATTTTAAGTTGAAAACAAAGTCGAAAACAATGTTTTAGAGAAAGTTTGAAACGAAATTTAAAGTAAAGTTTAAAACAAAGTCGGCAAAGTTCAAAACAAAATTTAGAGTAAAGTTCAAAAGGAAGATATTTTGAAACGAACTATAGTTGCCAATGAGTCCTTAATTGGAATTAATTCCTTTGGCGATTTTCATCACTTTTTTTTCATCAATGTATTTTTATCAGTCCCTTTTGATGATTCTCGTACCCTTTTGATATCGCAGTTCGTAATTTGAATCGAATCCCACACTCGGTTTAAACGAAGGTTTTATATCATTGGCCACGACAACGAGGACAAACAACGGCTATACTCAGCCGCTAACCGGTCTATTTATAAACCTTGATCCTAGCGGTAGATCATTTCTGCGACGATTGTCACCTCAAAAATTATTTTCCCCGTTTTCAATCACTTTTCACTCGAAGCAACAATGCGAAAATGCGAGAACACGAAGACACGAAAATACAAAAATACAAAAGAACGAAAGAATGAAAATACGAAATCCAAAAAACCGAAAATCCGAATAACCGAGAATACGAATAACCAAGAATACGAAAGTAAATAATGGCGAGAAACGAAAAATAAAAAAAAGATGTTTTAATTTCTCCTCTATTTGATTTAACAACGAGAGTAAAAATCAACAATTAAAAGAAAGGAGAGAAACAAGAAATGGAAAAGCGCGAAAAAATAGATATTGCGACGTGTAAATCGTACGGTAGTCTGAATTTTATTGTTGTGCAGTAGAGTGAGCTCGTTGAGTTTCAACTTCAGACATAGTTGTCGGTTCTTCATTGCTGGCTCGTGCCGGTTCGAGCCAGTTTCATCCCCACAACGTTCGCCAGAAACCCTCTCCTTCCTCTGTGACCGCTTCAATGATCACCACCTCCTAAACCTTCTTTTCCACTACTACAACATTTTCTGACTCTCTCTTCGACTCTCTCTTCGATGCTGCCTCGATGCTCTTCGAAACTCTTCGAAACTCTTCGATGCTCTTCGATGCTCTTCGATGCTCTTCGATGCTCTTCGACAAAATTTGTGTAACCGGTGCGTTTTTACGGAAAATTGACAACGTTGTCTACTTCTTCTTCTTCCTTTTCTACTCCCTTCGTTACAAATTATAACCTCTTTCTTTCTCTTTTTTCTTTCATTCATTTATTATTGTCTATATTTCTGGTGTCTCTCGTTGCCTTCAATTCATTCTTCATGAGTTTAATTTCCAAAATGGCAGATGAAATTTTTATTGCACGGCTATATAGTGACACGGGTCGTGACACTAGTCGTAAAACTATGGTTTAAAAGTATACGTGGTGAAAATTTACTCTTGGGAAAATAAAATAGAAAATTATTGGGTGTTGTTTTAGCAACGAAATGGATTAAAGAAAAATCTGCAGTGTTTTAATCTGTTGAGGATTAAAAAAAAACTGAAATGCTTTAAGCCATTGAGGATTAAAAGAAACTGCAGAGCTTTAATCTATTGGGGAATAAAAGAAACTGCAATGGTTTAATCCATCGAGGATTAAAATAATAATCGAAACATTTTTTTCAAAGTGGTTACAGATGATTTGGGTTTTGATCTAACGATGTATTTTTGTCGTGGAAAAAATTAATTCAAAGAAGGATTTTTATATTCTTTTCTGGTGGACATTTAAATCCACCGAAAGATCTTTTCAAAATGGTTATACAAATGAATTTTTGAATGATTTATTTTTTATTTAGAGAAATATTTTTATCATAGAAAAAATTAATCCAAAAGTAGATCTTTTTTTTATGTAAATTTAAAATCACCGAAAATTTTTTTCAAAATTGTTACAAATAATTTGGTTTTGATTTAGAAACATATTTTTGTCATGGAAAAAACTCAAAAGTTGATTTTAATCCTTTTTGGTGTAAAATCAAGAGTAAATTTAAATCCACCGAAAGAATTTTCAAAATTGTTACAAATAATTTGGTTTTAATTTAGAAACATATTTTTGTCATAGAAAAAATTCAAAAAAGATTTTATATTCTTTTCTGGTGTAAATTTAAGTAGAAATTTTAATTTACAGAAATAATTTTCAAAATAGTTACAAATTATTTGGTTTTTACTTAGAGAAATATTTTTTTCATTGAGAAAATAAATCTAAAAATAAATTTTTATCCATTTTGGTGTAAATTTAAGAGTTATTTAAGGATTATTTTGATCTTTTGCGTTAAAAATTTCAGCTACAACACTTTTTAATACTTTATAGTTTACTCATTAAACAATTAACATGAGTAAACTATAGAGTAAACTAAAAACGTTGTAGCTAAAATTTTTTACCAAAAAAAATTGAAAAAATTTTTGGATTATGTTTTTTCACGACGAAAATTGTTTTCTGAATCAAAACCAAATAATATGTAATCAGTAAAAAGAAAATTCTTCGATGGATTATTTTATTAATATTTATTTTATTAAGTTTTTAATCCTTTTATTACTTATTTTAATTTTTTATTAATTTTAATATTTAAAGAATAAAAAAATTGCAGGTTATTTTAATCCACTCTTTGGTTGTTAAAATTTTACGCAATTCGAATTTATTAGTTTATCTAAACTTAAAGGAAACACTACACTAAATATTTCCACTTTTAATGAAATCGTAAAATTATATTTGCACATACAAAATAAACTACAAGCTCATTAAAACCGAAGGTGTCCAGAAATTTCCTACTTTTTCAATAGCTTAAAAAATCGAAACATTTCTCGGTTAAAACTTGTATTAACTGGAAAGCTCCACATACTGTTTTGGACGTCACATAATAATCAATATTGAAATTGTAAAATTTTCCACAAAAAAAGAAAAAAAAATACATTATTATGTAAAAATGAATTTGCGTTTTAAAAGTAGATAATGTAGCTATAAAGTTCTTAACATTCAAATGAACGAAATTCACTTTTTTCTTTATTTATAAATTTTATAGTGGAAAAATATTGCGTCATGTATTTAAAAACAGAAATTATAAAGTTTGTTTTTTGCTTTCTATACCAAGCAGACGAATTTTGAAAATTTTTTCTTTTTCCTTTCAAATTATTATTTATTGTACAGTAAAAAAATTTCGTTTATTTAAATGTTCAGAACTAGTGGATTTCTGTCCCTAAAAGTTCTGGAAGTTTAAATAAAATTAAATTATTTTGCCTTTGAATTAAAATTTTCTGTCAATAATATTGCGTCATGTCATGTGTCAAAAAATGTTAATTATAAAGTTTCTAACAGTTTATTTAGTTTCTTTTACACACGCAGTAATTTTTGGAAAACAAATCGTGGCAAACAAATTTTGTTCATTTGAACGTTCAGAATTTGATGAGGACCGTGAAGTTTCTAAAAACGATAGCAAAAAAATAATAAGACTACGATATTTATTAGTTTAGCTTCAAAATTTAATTGAATCAAATAATTTTTATTTAAATATTATTTAATATTATTATTATTATTATTATTATTAATATTATTTAAAAGAATAATTATTACAATACTTGAAACAAATACCTTTTCAAATTAGTCCAAAATTTTTATCAATTTTTAACATACTTCCTGTTATTATTTAAAAACTACTAATTATTAAATACTAAAATAAGATTTAAGGATGTTCTTCAGCTTCGATTCTTGAAAAAATTAATTTTCTTTTGAGTTTGAATGACAAACTTTTTGTAGGCTTTGAATTTGGTAAAAATTTTAGAATCCTTTTGAATATAAAAGATGTTTGTTCGCTTGAAATTTGGTAAAAATTTTAGAAATTCTTTTCCTAAAAGATTAATGTAATTAACGTTTAGTACTAGGAGTAAATTAAAATTCTGTTTCGTTACTGGAGAACATTCTTAAATTCTTTTTTTCCTGTTTTGAAAACATGTTTTGAATGCTGTGACACCAAATTTTGAAATAATAGTAAAACTTTACTTACATTGCCTCTGATGGAGCGTACGGACTAGCTGCATTTTGAGTTATCGAAGTTGACAATGATAGAGACTCCAGTGGAATCTGAAATTAAATTATAAAAACAAAAATTTAATTTTTGATTATTTCACTTTCCCTGCAATAGCGTTTAGGACAAATACAACTACGAAAAATCCGAATAGAATAAAAAATCTCACGTCAGATAAAACAGTGCAGTCATAACTGGGCTGATATTTATCCTGTTCAAGGGGAGGTCTTCTCAAAATTTTATCACGATCCTGTTTGTGTTTTCGATCGGCACCCTTTAATTTGAAAACTTTAACTTGACAAGAAGCGGCATGTAGTCGTGATCCACCAGGAAGACGAGTTTCAACTTGGATACGAAAAGGCACACCCTTTTCACCGCCATGCTTTTTTGGCGTGAATTCAGTGCTGATACAATTTATCTGAAAGTAAAGCGCAAAAATACGAAATATTAAATTCTAATAATTTATGGCACATTTAGAAATAAGGTTGTGGAAAAGCAGGAAAATTAAATAGCAAAGATAAAGAAACAGAAAAAGTGATTTTTTTATGATTCTTTCTTTTCTAAAAAAGAATTTGTACCTTGACATAAACACCAACTTCTTTTGTGGGATCCCACATGAAATCCACGCTGTTATTTGTTGGAGAGGGTTGACAAACATCCACCATTCCATAGCTTAGAGGCACATCAACTTCCAAAAGTCTTTCGCCAGGTCTCGCACGTTGCCAGGCAAGAATCTGTTCTCTTTCCGTATATTGCAAACGTCTTTCATGAAAGCAAATGCGAATGGTCGACTGGAACAAAAAAGCCGGATCTCCCTTCAGAGAAATTGTTAGCTCCGTTTGGGTATTTCGCATCTTTTCAACGTACATTGAATCAACGAGCTCAAGCTAATTCATCTCAAGCTAATACTAAGTATTCAGTTCTCATTCAAATTTTTTATTCTCAATTATGAATCACAAAACAATTAATAGAACATCTTTGGAACAAATAACATGTTTTGTTGGACTAATAAAAATTTATTTGATGCAAATGCAATTTTTGGAACAAATAAAGAGTTTAGTAGACTAATAAAAATTTATTTGGAAGCAATGGAAATTTTTGGAACAAATAAAATGTTTTGTTGGACTAATAAAAATTTATTTGATACAAATGCAATTTTTGGAACAAATAAAAAGTTTAGTAGACTAAAAATTTATTCGAAGCAAATGAAATTTCATCTGAAGCAAATAGAATATTTTTGAAGAAAATAGAAAAGTTTAGCAGACTGAGTGAGAATATTTGTTTTCAGAGTGTAGCTTGAGCGGGCGATAATGTTCTCCAGTAAAATGATCAATAAACATTCTTTTAAGATGTCGCGACCCAAACATGGTTTTAAAATTAACGAATTTTATCATTAAAAAGTAGGATGTAGAGCAATACCTTCAAAATTTTCCCACGATACGCCGAAAGATCACCCAATTTTTTCAATTTAATCTCATAAGATTGTCCTTGATTCAAGTATGTTAGAGTTTCTTCGTTCACCTTGGTAGCAATACTTGTCGCTGCTGCCAAAACATACTGGAATCTGGAACAAGAGAATTTATTTAATTCGAAACTTTAGGAGCATTTACATAAAAAACAATAAGAATTATTATAATAGCAAAAATAATAATAAAAATCACAATCTTACCGACAATCCTCATTGGTTTCGTAACCTTGCTGAGAAGACGACACATGATTTGTGGAAGAGGATGTTGGAGGATACTCTTCATTTGAATTGTACAACAACTGATGGAGGCTTGGTGCATTTTGTCCGTTATTGTTGCTATCTGGATCCAGTAGACCGACATTTCCATCATTATTTGGTGCAACATTCACACTTCTTTGTGAAACGTGGTTTAAACTGAAACAATAAAAAAAAAAATTTATAATGATTTCATTATTTCTCCAGAACACTTGTCTTGATAATATTTATTTTAATAATATTTTATGTAATATTATTCATTTATTTTATATATAATTTATTATTTATTTTATACAATATTTATTTTATTATTTTACTTTAATATTTCAAAATTAATTGAATTTTAAATGAGTCGCGTTGACAATTTTCATAAATTCTTCGCGTAAATTCAATTATGTTCAAAAATTAAAAAAAATTCTCGTCACAATTTTAATTATCTTTATAAACAATAAAATTCTTCTCCGAAATTCAATTATTTTCAAAACATTTCCTCAATTTAATGATTTTCAATATTTACTATTTTAATAAAATTTCCCAAAAGAATTCAATTATTGTTTTTAAAAAATTTTAATAAAATTCTACGCGAACATTTAATTTATTTCTTAAATTAATAAAAATTACACAACATTTCAATTATTTGCAAATTTTTTATAAATTTCTTCGCAATAATTCAATTATTTTCGAAAACAACAAATTTTTTATACAGAGTTTGAATTATTTTCATAAATTGCAAAATTTCAATTATTTTTAACACAATTTTAATCAAATTCCTTGAAAAATGTTACAAAAGATTGCAAAAATTTAATTATTTTCAAAAGTATAATAAAATTCTTTGCAGAAATTCAATTATGTTCAAAATTTTTTTTAAATTCTCGCCCAAATTTCAATTATCTTTATAAACAATAAAATTCTTTTCTGATGTTCAATTATTTTCAAAAATTGTCCTTAATTCAATGATTTTCAATATTTACTATTTTAATAAAATTTCCCAAAAGAATTCAATTATTGTTTTCAAAAAATTTTAATAAAATTCTACACGAACATTTAATTAATTTCTTAAATAATAAAAATTACACAACATTTCAATTATTTACAAATTTTCGATAAATTTCTTCGCAATAATTCAATTATTTTCGAGAACAAAAAATTTTTTACAGAATTTTAATTATTTTCATAAATTATTTTCATAAATTGCAGAATTTCAATTATTTTTAACACAATTTTAATCGAATTTCTTGAAAAATATAACAAATGATTGCAAAAATTCAATTATTTTCAAAATTATCTTTATAAACAATAAAATTCTTTTCTGAAATTCAATTATTATTTAATCTTAATAAACTTCTTGGTAAAATTTCAATTATTTTCACAAATTTTCCTCAATTAAATGTTTTTAAATATCTACTATTTTAATCAAATTTTCCAAAATAATTCAATTATTTTCATAAACAATAAAACTCATCGCAGAATTTCAATTATTTTTAATACAATTTTAATCGAATTCCTCGAAAAATATAATTATAAAAAAAAAAAATAAATATATATATATATTTTTTTAATAAAAAATTCGTCAAAAGAATTTAATTATTTAAAAATTTGATGATAAAATTCTTTATGAGAATTGAATTTTAAGAAACATTTAAATATTCAATAAATTGTTTGTTTTTGTATTTTTATATAATTGAATTCTCGTACAATTTTCTAATAAAAATAAATTTAAAAATGAATTTTAGTGTAAATTTTAGTTAATAATTGATTATTAATAACACTAGCGTGAATTTTTAGAAATAATTTAATTTTAAGAAGGTTTCAATTCAAATCATTGTAAAATTGAATTTTTCGTACTTTTTACTGACAATTCTGTAGAATTAAATTATTTGTAAAAGTTTAATTGAATTAATAATTTTTAAAATTATTAAAAATAATTGATAATTGATAATTGAATTCTTTCGAAGAATTTTAATAAAATTTTTGAAAATAATTACATTTTTCAAAGAATTTTCTTAAAATTGTCTTAAAAAGAATTGAAATCATGTGAAGAATTTTATTATTTAGGAGAATAATTGAATTCTTGCAATAAACTTTTTATTATATTTTTTTCAAATAATTGAAATCCTATGAAGAATGTTACTATTTATGAAAATAATTGAATTCTTGAAACAAATTTTATTAAATTTTTGATAAATAATTGAAATCCTGTAAAGAATTTTATTATTTATGAAAATAATTGAATTCTTGCAACGAATTTTATGAAATTTTTGATAAATAATTGAAATCCTGTAAAGAATTTTATTATTTATGAAAATAATTGAATTCTGGCAACGAATTTCATTATATTGTTTTTTAAATAATTAAATTCTTTTAAGAAATTTTATTAAAATTGTAGGTTTTGTAAATAAAAGACTATTTATATTTATATTTATAAAATAATAATGATTAAATATTTATTTAAAAAAATTTTAGTTAAAAATTCTAGAAAATAATAATTGATATGATGAAAATAATTTTGAAGAAGTTACAATAACAATATTTTTATAATATAAAATAATGATAATAATAAAATAATCAGACTTGGTCATCTTTAATAATTATTACAAAACATGAAGAAATTAATATTATAATTATAATTATAATTAATTAAATTAATCACTTTGAGTCGAAGACTCGGAGTAATCATTATCTTTTTGTTTTATAATAATATTCTTATAAGCTGTTGAATTTCAAAAAGGTTTTAATTTAAATTTTTTTGAATTTTTTGCTAAAGTAGTAAAATTTTGAAATCGTAACTATTCGACGTTTAAAAATTTTTTTTGTCTTTCCCCTGAATAAAACTTACAGAAGACTATAAAACAATGAAGTTGAAGGCTTAAATTCAGGACGACTTCTCATACTGTTCGTCAGGAATAATTATACGTCGTCATCAAAAAGTTAAAATCATTATCAGATTGAAACTAACATTCTCAAGTATAATAATTCAATTTCAAGTTCATGTTGAAACATTTGAAGGATATTGCCTTATTAAAGAATTGCAAAGTTTTAACCGGTAAAACTCAGTTGATACTAGTTCTATATCCACATTTTTATTACTAGAAACGATAAAGCACTTCTGCACACTCAAATATCTATCTTGTAATAATAATAAAAATAACTCGGAAATCGATACACTTCATTGAATATTTCCTATAATCTATTTTATCCCATCTCTGATCCATTTAAAAAATTGAGGAATAATAATAATAAATATTGTACCAATCTTTAAGCACTAATAAATCAAAATCAAATATTTGCTATTGCGGTGAATTGTGAATAAAAGAATCTCAAAATTAAAAATTAAAATCTATGTTCAGAATTCTTTTTCTAATCAACTGTTTGAGCAATACGAACTTTGTGAACCCGCCGATAAACAAAGACTGAATTCAGAAGTCTCAATTCAAATCGTAAACGATGTGAGAGACTATCTGTTTTTGCTTTGCTGGAGAGATGCGCGGCATATTCCATTCATTTTACACAATATTTATATTCTGTATAACGTATACACACGTATGTTTAATAGAAAAGTTAAATTCCTCCATGTAAGGGGAAAATTAAAAGTCAAGGCAATTATTTCAAGAATTTTATAACAATTTATTATTAAAAATTGCATTCGCGTGGTATGCAATGCAATTTATCGTGGAGGGACATTTTTTTAACCTTCCCTTGCCGCACTGGGTCATGTTATTTATTTGTTTATAAAAAGTCACGAGGCTTTACGAGAAAATATCACTTATTGAATAAAAAAAAAAGAAAAAAAGAGAAAAAAGAAGAAATCTTTGATTTTATGTTCACTTTAAAATTAATTTTTATTCTCAATTTTATTTTTATTTTCGTTACATTTATTTTTTTATGTTTACTTCCACATTGATAGATTTTCACTTTTAATTTTCCATTTTTTTCAATTCTTTTCAATTTTATTTTCATTTGCAATAAATGGAATTTAAGAAAATTTATGGAAATGAAAATGAAAGTTAAAGTGAAATTAATAAAAGTTAAAACGGAAGACAAAATAAGAATTTTTCCAAAGTGAAAATGAAAGTGAAAATAGAATTTTTACTTGCAAATGGAATCGAAGAATATTTATGAAAATAAAAATTAAATTCAAAGTGAAATTAATATATATTAAAATGAAAATTAAAATAAAAAATTTTCTAAAGTGAAAATGAAAGTGAAAAAACAATTTTCACTTACAAATAAAATCGAAGAAAATTTATAAAAATAAAAATGAAAGTAAAAGTGAAATTAAAAAATGTTAAAATGGAAATTCAAATAAAAAATGTTCTAAAGTGAAAATGAAAGTGAAAATGGAATTTTCACTAACAATAACAAATGGAATTAAAGAAAATTTACAGAAATAAAAATGAAAGTAAAATTAAAATTAGTTTTATTTAGTATTTTATTTTTCCAAAGTGAAAATGAAAGTGAAAATAGAATTTTCACTTGCAAATGGAATCGAAGAATATTTATGAAAATAAAAATTAAATTAAAAGTGAAATTAATATATGTTAAAATGGAAATGAAAATAAAAAATTTTCTAAAGTGAAAATGAAAGTGAAAATACAATTTTCACTTACAAATGGAATTGAAGAAAATTTGTAGAAATAAAAATGAAAGTAAAAGTGAAATTAATAAATGTTAAAAATTAAAATGTAAGTTAAAAAAAAATTTCCAAAGTGAAAATGAAAGTGAAAATAGAATTGGACAAATTTATATGGATAATTAAATGAATACCCATCAAAGTGAAAATAATATTGAAAATAAAAATCTCTAAAAGTAAAAATGTATCTAAAAATCTGTCAAAGTGAAAATGAAAGTGGAAATGAAATTACATTTCACTTTTTCTTCGAAAGATTTTTATTTTTACTTCAGCAGATTTTTATTTTCAGTTTTAATTGCATTTCAACAGATTTATTTTCAATTTTACTTTGATAAATTTTTATTTTCAGTTTCGTCTTATCTTTAATTTTCACATTAGAAAATTTTTCTTTTCACTTTCATTTCTAATTTTTATTCTGATGGACTCATTTGCACTTTAATTTCTAATTTTTACTTTGATAAATTCATTTTCTCTTTCATTTTCATTTTCACTTTGATGGAAGGTGAAAATCAAAATCTGTCAAAGTAAAAACGAATGAGAAAGTAAAAAACTGCCAAAGTGAAAATGAATAAGAAACTAAAAAACTGTTAAAGTTAAAATGAAAATAAAATTAACGTCTATCAAAGTGAAAATAAAAATGAAAATGAAAATCTATCAAAATGAAAGTCAAAATAGAAATTAAATTACAAAAGTTATTAAATAGCATGCTGATAAAATATTGGTTCAAATTGACCCAGTGTGTGAGTGGCGTGTCAAAAAATAATTGTTTCAACGAAATGCAAATTACTGCATTAGTAGTTAAGTACCAAACATTTGTCTGGTTCAACTAAAAAATTATTTCAAGCAACGAAATATTCTGTTTGATTCAACTAAAAATTTGCTTCAAGCGACCAAATATTTGTTTGATTCAACTAAAACTTTCCTTCAGGCGACCAAATTCTTTCTTCGAACCAAAAATTTACTAAACCGAACCAAATATTAATTTAAATCAAACAAATATTTATTTAGATTAAAGAAACTCTATTTATAATCACCTAAAAATTATATTTTTACAACAAAATGTAAAATTTCATTCAAACCACCAAAAGTAGTGAAGACTCTACTACTACTGATAAAAATATCTTCGGTAAATTTAACAGAGAAAGAATAAAAGTAATTTAAAATAGTAAAAATGAGGAGAGAGAGAGAGAGACAGAGAAAGAAATAGCGATGAAGTTAGTGAGAGAGAAAGATTTGAAGAATTTTAGTGTTTGTTAACACTTACTTAGGATTGTTGGGCTGGTTTTCGGGAGACTGTGCTTCCTGCTTAAAGATTGTAAGCGAAGGTAAAGCCAGTAAAGCATCGCTGCAACAATAAAATGAAGCAATCTTTATAGTAAATTTATTGAAATTGCAAGTTGCAAGCTTTCAAAATTTTAGCGTCTACTCGCGAAATTTTTAAGCGCCGATCAAAAAAATCGAAGCAACTAAATTATATTACAATGAGAGAAAAAACTTTTTTGAAGCAAATATAATTTACTTGAACCAAATACATTTTAATTCAAGCAAATTCGAACTAAATATATTTTAATTCAACCAAATATAATTTATTCTATAATTATTCTATAATTTATTATATATTTAATACCTATATTGGTATTATATTTCTCTAGCACTTCTCTAACAATGGAAAAAAATTTATTTGATTCAAATAACCGATTATTTGATTATTACGAATTAAATATTTACTTGAATCAAATAATTTTTATTTGAGTCAATAAAATAATATTTCAACCAAAAAATTTTTGATTCAAGTAAATATTTAATTGATAATAGTCAAGTTATCGATTATTTGAACCAAATACATTTTTTTCAGTGAAATAAAATTTATTTGAATCGTACAAATTTTATTTGAAACAAATAAAACTCATTTGAAACAAATAAAATTTGATTGTTTCAAATAAACTTTATTTGTCACAAATAAAATTTATTTGAATCGTACAAAAAATTTATTTCAGACAAATAAAATTTTATTGTTAATTTCTTTATTTCGAACAAATAGAATTTATTTCAAGCAAATAAAATTTAATTGTTTATTACTTTATTTGGAACAAATTAAATTTATTTCAAAACAAATAAAATTTAATTGTTCATTACTTTATTTGGAACAAATAAAATTTATTTCGAACGAATAAAATTTATTTGTTTCGAATAAAGAACACCTGTGAAATATAGAAGCGATTGTTGTGCCAAATAATTACCTTGACTTAACATGAAGCATTGTTTATGAATTAAAAAAAAAATTAAGGCATTATTGCAAACAAATAAATAATTGAATCAATGATTGTTAGTTACAATTATTTAAAAAAAAACTATTTATTTATGATTTAATATCAATTTTACTATACTAATGTAAATATAAAATAAAAATAAAATATGTATATTAATAAAAATTTTTTAAAATTCATTAAGAATAGAAAAAGTAAGAAAAAAATAAATAAACGACACTGTCTGTGGAATGAAACAGTACGTTCAAAGCTCGTCCCAGAATAATTTTCTAGTTCATTCTATCACTGTTATCACACTAACTGTCACGGTAGTTACTGGTTCAATGGTTCAATCTGATGTAATTTAAGGGTTCGGCCCACACGCATAGGTACCTTCCTACCGCTCAGATCTATTTTATTGTCCATCTCAACATTTTCTCAAAGTACTTTTTCTCAATTCTTATTTCAAATTAAAGAGAATTTTTACAGCAATTTTTCAATGAATTGTCGTTTTGAATTTTTTATAACAGTTTTATTAATTTTTAAGAACAAACAATTATTAAGAAATTAAATTAAATTGTTAAGAAATGAAACTAAATTGTTAAGAAATTAAACTAAATAGTTAAGAAATTAAACTAAATAATTAAGAAATTAAATTAAATTATTAAAAAAATTAAATTAAATCGTTTAATTAAAAAAATATAAAAAAATCGTTTTATTATTAAATTAAATTAAATTGTTAAGAATTAACAACAAATTGGATCGGATTCAATTATTTTGGATTACATTCAAAATAACAACGCGTGTGGACGATTCTATGAAACTTTTCTGCGGTCACATTTTGACTGATGCCCGCAAATATAACAATTGACGGCAAAGCATAATTGAAATCCAAAAAAAAAAGCTGTAAAAAAAAATTTATATTGACAATATTTTTCGTCCCCTGTCTCTCTATTTAAGTTTAAACTAAAATTTTCAGCAAAATTCTAGTTTTCTCACACTCGCAATGGAAATATGATTATCAAAGTTTTGAACACATTATTATCTTTGATAAACTTTGTGTGAATAAGACTTCATACAGAAGTAACTGGTAAAGACCAGTTAAATGAAGCTTCGTGTTTTACGGATTTTGTGCAAACTAGTTATAATAATATTTAAATTAGATCATTTTTAATAACAAACTAATAATGTAAAAAGTGTTGGCAATATTCAAATTAGTGTTTAAATATTTATATCACTATAATTAAACATTTATAATTCAATTTTTTTTTGACTTCTGCTCTTGATTTTAGTTTAGGTGAAATTTCAGGAGAGAAGAAGATGAAAAAATATTTATTTACTACAATTTTGGATATAATTAATAATATTTAAAGTATAAACAGAATTTTATTTGTAACAAATAAAATTTATTTAAACCAAACAGAATTTTATTTGAACCAAGTAAATTTTTTTAAACTGAACAGAATTTTATTTGAACCAAGTAAAATTTATTTTAACTCAACAGAATTTTATTTGAACCAAGTAAATTTTTTTCAACTGAACAGAATTTTATTTGAACCAAGTAAAATTTATTTAAACTAAAGAGAATTTTATTTAAACCAAGTAAATTTTTTTTTAAACTAAACAGAATTTTTTTTCAACCAAATAAAAAGTTTAATTGACTCTGAGTTAAATATATTTTTTTCTGGTTATATAAACAGTATTTTTTCTTCTTTTTTGTAAATCCATTTATTTTTATAAATAAATAAATATTTTAATGGTAATAATTTAATAATAAATAGTATTTAAATTGTAAAAATTTATCAATAATTTAATATTGCTTCAAAAAAAATTTAACTCAGAGCCAAATAAACTTTTTATTTGTTTTAAAAAATAAATTTTATTTGATTCAAATAAAAATATTTTTCTGCGGCTAATAACATTTTTTTTAAACAAATAAATAATTTAGTAGGCTCTGTAACAAATACACTTTTATTTAACTCAAATAAATTATATTTAATTTCAATAAAATTTTCCTCTGGGTGTGATAATTTAATAATAAATAATATTTTAATAATAATTTAATTTTAAAGAATATTTCAATAATATAATTCAATTTCAATTTTCATAATACATAATATTTTACTAACAACAATTTGTCAAGAAATAATACTTTAGTAATAACAGCAATTTATTAATAAATAGTTATTTTATTAATAATTATTAATTACAAATGGAAATTATTATCAATATTATTTATTATTATTAATGTATTATAAATTATTACCCGGAAAGCGCAAAGTTTACATTGCAAAAAGTTCCTTTAAAAAATTTTCAAAGAAAGTTTGCAAAAATTTTTCAGCTCATTTCCAACTAATTTTAACTTTGTCGATCATTTTTTTTTCTCTTTTCAAATTTTCGATTATTAATAGAAAGTTTCTGATTACTATCTGGGAGATCTATTTTCGATATTATTATCATCTACCTTTTTGGATAAAAAATGATTTAAATAATTTTTTATTATCGTCATATAATTTTTTTTGCTCAAGAACAGAGCTTTTTTCTATCATTACATTGACCAGTCAGAAATCTGAACCCATCGATAACACTGTTTAAGTCATTAGGGTTAGCTTGAACCGGCGTATACCGGTTATTGTACAATTACCAATATATCCAATACATACTTGAAAAAGAATATTACAACAGAAGCTTTTTTCTCTAATACAAATGACCAGCGACATCTAATGATAAAAAAAAATTTTGAGATTTTTACACTATTTTCACTATTTAAAATTGTAAATTTAATTTTAATTTTCAGAAAATGTTAATATTGTTTTAATTAGAGTGGGAAAAAAATATATTTGATTCAAGTAAATAAATTTTGAGTTCAAATTTAAAATTTATTGTCAAATAAATATTTAGTTGAATTAAATATTTTTAAATTATTTTTAATTTAATTAAAAAATATTTTATTTGAGTAACATAAATTTTATTTATTATTATTTATTTTAGCCAATAATTTTGAAATTTAGGTATATTTATTTAAGTTAATTAAATTAAATTTTATTTTTATTAATCAATTTCATTCTATTGAATGAAATTAAAATTGTTTAGTAAAAATAAATTTTTCTATCTTTCTTCTAAGCGTTGTAAAGTATAATTTATTGAAAGTAATCGTTTATTTGAATCAAATTTTCAATGTACTTTAATTACAACTTGTAATTATTACAATTATTATTATTATTACAACTTAAATTATAAAAAATAATAAATAAATAGTAAATAAACGCCCAGAAAAAATATATATTTGACTCAAAGTCTTCTAAATTATTTATTTATTTAAAAAAAATTTTATTTTGTTCCAAATAAATTAGAAATGGTTCTAAAAAAATTTATTTAGTAGACATAAATTTTATTTTGTTGACAAAAATTTTATTTAGTTCAAATTAATTTTATTTCGTTTAAATAAATTTGATTTCGTTCAAACAAATTTTATTTACTTTAAATAAAAATTTTATTCAGTTAAAATAATGTTATTTCTTTTAAGTAAATTTTATTTGCTTCAAATAAAAATTTTATCTGTACCGAATAAATTTTTTTTAAGCTCAATCAATTTTTTTTAAACAAATAAATAATTTAATATCACACAAAGAAAAATTGTATTTGAATCAAATATAATTTCTTTGAGTCAATTAAAAGTATATTTTCTCAGAGCCTACTAAATTATTTATTTGTTTTAAATAAAAATATTTTTCGACACAAATAAAATTTTTATTTGAACCAAAAAAAATTTATTTAAAACAAAAAGTTTAATTTGAAATAAAAATTTTAGTTGGCTCTGAATTAAATTTTTTTTTTGGTGCATTATTAAATTATAGAAATATACACTGAAAAAAAATTAAATAAATCATCCCTGGAGTATCCCAATGGGAAATTTACAACTGGCGTTGTACTGCGCCAGCACTGGCAGCATTGGCGGCAAGGCTGAGAGCCAGCACTGGCATGGCACTGGGATGATAACGCCGTCTGGCGCTGCCGAAGTACTGTCTGTCAGTGCTGCCAGACAGCGCTGGCGCAGCACTGGACCAGTGCTGGCTGAGAATATTGCCGCAATAAATGCCGTATTGTTATTAATTAGTCGTAAATTCAAAATTATAAATAATTTAACAACAAAATGGTAAATAATATTAATAAATAGTTATTATTCATAAAATATTTCTCTTCTCAAAAAAATTGTATTAAAGATGGAGACTAACAATGGATATAGTAAATGAAGTAGAAAAAAATTGTTTATAACATTTAAAAATTAAATAATAAACAATTACAGTAAGTGTGCATTAGATTTTCATATTTTAGTACCTAACGATTGGAATCTAGAAATATCGCAAACCTATGAAAATAAACAAAATTGCTGACGAGGGGAATCGAACCTACGACCTACGGACTAACAGACTAACGCTCTAACCACTATGCTAACGACACATGTGTACAGTAAAGTATTAATATCTCAGTATCATTCAGACTTACAATTATTGAGTCAAAGATGAGAAAAAATAGGGATACGTTAGAAATAATAAATTGAAATAAAATAAATTAAACTAAAATTTTAATAGTAAGAAGTATAATAGTATTTTAATAGGAACCAAATTATTATTGAGATTAAAGTTTAAATTTTGTTTATAATTTTAATTTGTTTAAATAATTTATTATTTTCAAAATTAGACAATTGTGTTAAATTGTTATTATTAAATTTAATAAGAATAAAAAATGAACAACTGAAAAGTAAAATATTAATTTTTTTCAATAAATTTATATTTATAAACATTTATAAACTTTTTTTATAATTTTTTTCAAGTTTATGTCATAAAAGCAATGTTGGCAAAGAGCGTCGTGAACAATTTTTCTATACTCAGCCAGCACTTACCGCCGTGGCTTGTCCAAGCTTTGGCGAAACAAAAGTTCTGTACTGCGCCAGCACTAATTGTCGAGGCTCGGCTAGACTACGCCGAACAATCGTCTGAGTACTAAGCCAGTGGTGAACATCGGCACTACACTGGCATTTCCCATTGGGATATGAAATAATTTATGATAATTAATAACAACAATTTAAAAATTTATAATAAAATTTAGCAAAAAATTATTTTTTTTTATTTTTGAGAAAACAATTTTGTTTACCAATTTTTCCTTTGTCCCATTATGAATAAACACAATATGTCCCAAAGAAAAAGTATCACACACTATTAAAATGAAAACGTGTTACATTTTTTTCTTTCAAACTACAAAGTAATGTATTTTTAAAAAGCCACACACTTCACTCATTGAAATATTACTGTGTCACATGTGTGTTAACGAGCGTTATTTCCTCTTTGAGCAAAATACGATTAATTACATTTCCTTATTCGACCACAGTGCGTCGCAAAATTCGAGATAACATCAACTGAAGCCCACTTTAAAACTCTACTTCAATACCTTTTTTTCCATACATTAAATTATTCACAATATGACATGTGAACTCATCTTTAAAAATTCATTTCACTTGCAATTTATTTTTTTTACAATTTTTCTTTCTAAGTTTCATTTAATTTTTCAGAAAAATTTAATTATAATTGAAAAGAATGTAAAAAAGTTTTTTCGCATTAAATTTATAATAGTTGCAGTTTGAAAATATAATATCAAGTGAGATGATGATAATGTGAAGCGATGACAGATATCGAATGAGGAAAGTTTGAGAAGCAAAACGATTATCACAAGATGGTTCTATCGTCTTTTATAAGGTAACATACCTACTTTATCAACAGCTGTTGAAAATTGAAAATTTTAATTAAAAAAAAAAAATTAAAAAAAATAATTACCGAGTAAATGCTATTTTTATAAATAAAATTTTAATAAAAATTTATTTTTATTTTATACTGAATTTTTATTTTTATAATAATAATTTTTAATAAATAAATAAATAAATAAATAAATAAATAAATATAGTAATAAATAAATATAATAATAAATAAAAAATACACGAAAAGAAACCTTCACCTGGAACAGCGATAAATTTCCCTAGAATAGCGAAATTATTAATTAAAAGAACTAAAAATTTCACTAATATAATAAAATTCGTATACTGGGAAAACATTTTTTTTTAATCCAAAAATAAATAGACAACCAAAAGAATATATGTTTGGATTAAACATATTTTGTAATTAAATTAAACGTACCTAATTTTTATTTATTACATTCTCATTTTTTTAATAGAATTTTACACGAAAAATTAAATAGAATTTTTTTATTTATTTTAATAGAATCAAACTTTTTGAATTATAATCAAAAAATTTTTCTTGAATCAAAGTTATTATGTTTAATTCAAAAATAATTTTTGGTTGACTGTATAACAAAGATAATTTTGTTTGCTTCAAATATATTGTTTTCTCAGTGTAGTTGTTTCAGGTAAAAATTTTAGAATAAATAAATTTTGATAATAATAAAAGTTATTGTTTGAAAATATTTTTTTTTTTTTTTTTTGAAATTTTAGTTTAATTTGAATAATATTTTAGTTTTTTATTTTGAAGAATTTGATTCAAAAAGCGTATTTTTTAATTTATTCTCAAATTAAATAAATCTACGAAGGTATTTTTAAAGCAATAAGTCTTTATAAATTTTCGGGTTTATTTGTGAAACGATAAGAAATAATAAACTCGATCTACATACAGATAAATCAATTTCATAAAGAGGTGAAAGTAAAAAAAAAATATTTTTTTAAAACTGAAACTTACAGTATTAGTTGCATATTTAAATTGTCAACTACTTAATATGTCATTCGACGAAAGAAAACTAACTGTAAACTTTCTACTTGGAGTAAATAAATTCTTTATTAATGTCATCGTAGATAATATTCATAAACGATGAAAGGAAAGAATTTTTTCTCTTTATTAAGTTTCAATTAAAAATTAATTAATAAGCTTCATTGCCTAATTATATTTATTTTCAGTTTTTAATTTTAAAAATGTATTTAGAAATTTCTGAATTCATTGAAATTTTAAATATTCAAATGAACGAATTTTTTTTCTTTTTTAATATTTTTCTAAAAATTACTGCAACCGGGGAAAATTTTATTTCAACTAAAAACAATTTAGTTGAGTTGGATAAAAAGTGTATTAGTCACAGAATCTACTAAATTATTAATTGGCTTTGAAAAAGAAAATTTATTCGACATAAATAAAATTTTTATTTGAAGTAAATAAAATTTATTTGAACTAAATGAATTTTATTTGAATCAAATAAAATGTATTTGAACCTAAATGAATTTAAACCTAAATGAATTTAAACCTAAATAAAATTTAAACCAAATAAAATGTATTTGAATTAAACAGAATTTATTTGAAATAAAGAGAATTTTATTTGAACCAAATAAAATTTATTTAAACAAATAAATATTTTTTTTAATATTGACAAATAATCGTTTAATTGAAATAAATGAATTTTGTTTCCAGAGTATTTTAATTACAAATTAAAAAGAAAAAATTATAAAAAATAAACTTTATGACACCTAGAAACAAATATATTTGAATCACAGCTTTCTAAATTATTTAATTGATTCAAATAAATTTTATTCGATTCAAATTAAATTCTGTTTAGTTCAAATACATTTTATTTGGTTCAAATAATAACCTGTTAGGTTCAAATGAATTTTATTTGGTGCCAATAAAATTCTTTTAGGTTCAAATAAATTTTATTTGGTTCAAATAATATTCTGTTAGGTTGAAATAAATTTTATTTGGTTCAAATAAAATTCTGTTAGGTTCAAATAAATTTAATTTGGTTCATAAAAATTCTGTTAGGTTCAAATAAACATTATTTAATTCAGATAAAATTTTAATTCAAATAAATTTAATTTAGTTCAAAAAAAATTCTGTTTGGTTCAAATAAACTTTATTTAATTCAGATAACATTTTGTTTAATTCAAATAAATTCTGTTCAGTTAAAATACGTTTTACTTGGTTCAAATTAAATTTTGGGCGTTTTACTTAAAATTTTGATCTGTTTAAATAAATTTCATCAAATAAAATTGTGTTTATTTGAAATTAAATTTTGTTTGGTTTAAATAAAATTCTGTTTATTTCAAATTAATTTTATTTGGTGCAAATTAAATTTTCTTTGGTTCATATAAAATTATGTTTAGTTCAAATAAATTTTCATTTGGTTCAAATAAAATGCTGTTTAGATTAAATAAACTCCGTCTAATTCAAATAAATTTTATTTAGTTCAAATTAAATTTTTTTGGTTCAAATAAAATTATGTTTAGTTCAAAATAAATTTTAATTTTGTTCAAATAAAATTCTGTATAGTTAAAAAAATTTTTTCTTTAGTTTAATTAAAACTTTTTTCTTCGTATAATAATAAAAAAATAATTGTCATTCATTGCGGAACGTTCGAAACTTTAGGAACATTTAATTTTAATACTAAAAAATATTATTTCTTATATTAAAAAAATAAATTGTTGACAAAGTTAGTGGTAATTATGAATTATTTTTTAATTCAATGAAGAATAAATTTAGAAAATATTTAAACTTTTAAACTCAAAAAAAAATTTGGTTAAAAATTTTTTGATTATCTTCAAAAAAGGAAATAATTAGTTCAAATAAAATGTATTTACTTTAATTAAAAATTAATTGATCCAATTAAATATTTATTTAATAATAGACAAGTTTATTTTGAATCGAGTAAATTTTACCAGTAAAATTAATTTAATTAATTTTAAAATAAATTTTACCACAAAGCAATATTTTTTATGACATTAAAAAATGTTGCACTGCTCACCTCATATTATAAGAAGCAACAGCCGTGGCAAGATCGGAGGCGGCAAGAGCCGACAAAGAATTATCAAAATCAGCAGCCAAATGTTCTGCAAGTTCTTCCACTTGCGTAGTCCAACCCTGTCCAGATCCATTACTTCCTATTGATCCTGAAAATAAAAAACTTTTAAGTAATTCTTCTAAGAGTGCTTTTACTAAATTATACTTTCAATATTTATTTATTTATTTATTTATTCACAAACTTCTCAAAAAAAAAGAAAACATTGAAAATGATAAAAAAAATTTTTAAATTGTGCCTACTGTGGCTGAATTACAAAAACATGTACTTTATCTCATTTTACATTATCACTAAATATAAGAAAATGAAGATACAAGAACAAATGTAGCCAAGGTTAAAATAGTAATAATGATCTTTTAACCTTGAATCAAATATTTATCTGTAATATCCAAGTTTATCACTTAAAGTAAAAAGCACTAATATAGTTTAGTCTAATAAGTGATTTATATTATTTAAGGTTAATATAATCAGAAAAAAATCAAAAATAATAATAACAATAATAATATCAATTAGAATTATTTAGTGTCAATATTAGTGTTGGGAAAAATTGTTTGCAAATAATTTTTCTGCGTCAACAAAGTTTGTAACTAATTTTTCACTTATGTGTTTATATTGACCAGAGAGTAACTGTTTGAAGCTTTGATGGAAGTAGAAATACGAAGTAGTTGATTCTTAATCAAGTTGTGTTGAGGAGTATTTTATCTTAATAAAGTGCCTGTAAGTAACAAAGCCTCCACCGAAGGGTGTCAATAACCTCATTACATTATCTTTTAAAAATATTACATTGTTCATTCACTGTAACCCAAGCAACTTTTTACGCCGATTAACTTTTTTACAGACGGTTATAATATGTAGGACAATTATTATAAGATTTTTTTTTTAAATCCAAATAATTAAGAAAACTTGATTCACTTCACTTAACCACTATTTTTCTTTTATTTCAACGTTCAAAACTTGTTACAATTTTATTCTAATTTTAATAAATTTTTTATTTTAATATTTTTTATCTTAATATCAAGAGGATTACTTTTCAAATTAAATTAATTAATAATTTTAAACGTTCAAATAAATGAAATTAATTTTTTTCTTATCTTAAAATTAAACTATTGTACACAATAAAATAGTTTTGCGTCACTATCAGAAAAATTAATTGTCAAGTTTCTAAATGTTAAATTTTAGTTTTTAATTTTTATATTAAGTTATTCTTGCAATATTATTTAAGAAACTATTTTTAATAACAAATATTTCCTTCAATCAAAAAAAATATAACATCTTCAAATAAAATATTTCTTTCATTTGAAAGTTCAAAACTCGTTGATTATAATGAATCCTCTTAATAATAAATTTTATTTGTTTATTTAAACCTTTTTTTCAAAAACTCTGAACGATCAAATAAAGAAATATTTTTTTACAATCAATATTTGGAAAAAAATTCTAAGAAAAAATATTTCTTTTACTTAATTTACAAAATCATATTCTTTTAAAACTTTTTTAAAAATTCAAAAACTGTTCTTACTTTACGTTACATGAAAAAATCCCTGTGAACCTTGCAACTATTTAAACAATTTATTCTTTCATTATTTATTAATTAAATTATTTCTGGTTTCTCTAATTTTTCTTCTTCTAGAAAAACAAAATTTCTTTAGTTAAATCAGAAATTAGAAAAATTGATCTCAGAAGTAGTAAAATTTATTCTGTAAATATTAATTTTTAATAATAAATTGTATTAAGCTGGAAGAAAATTTTAAAAAATTTTAATTTTTATACAAAAATTAACTGTGAAAAAAGTAAAATTTGATATTAGAATCGTTTATTTTCAGAGTAAATGTTATAATATTCTTAGTAAATTTTAATAAAAATTAAAAATTAGTAAAATATACTTTCAAGTTAGTAAAATTAATTTTCTAAATAGCAAAACTTCTTAGTAATTCCAAAAAGTTTGGGACTTTTTAAATTATATAAGTAAAAAATTATTGTATTATAGCGAATACAGTTAATTATAAAGATTTTTTATTTTCTCTTTTGATTGCAGATTTATTAAATAAAAATTTGTTGTTAAATTTTTTATGTTAATTTTGTTGTTTAAACTCAAAGTTTTAGATTAGATTAATATTTTTTTTAACTTTTTCTTTATTCTGCATCTTTTCTAAATTTTGAATCAAAATTTTCGTTAGAACACTATTTTACTTTTTAAAATTTCGTGAATTTTAATATTAAATTTTATTCTAGAAATAAATAAGTAAAATACATAAATTTTACTATATTCAAAGTAAATTTAAGTAAAAATTAACTTTGGATATGGTAAAACTTCCTCCAAACTTAGTCAAATTTACTATTAAAAATTATTATTTCTAGACTGACATTTACAATTTCGGAAAATAATTTCTTTATAAAAATTAGAAAAATTTGTCTCAGAAGTAGTAAAATTTACTCTGTAAATAATAATTTTTTAACAACAAATTGCATTACGCTGGAAGAAAATTAAAAAAAAAAATTGTGTACAAAAATTAACTACGTGAAAAAAGTAAAAGTTGCTTTTAAAAATTGTTATTTCCAGAGTAAATTTTATAAAATCTGAAGTAAATTTTAACAAATTTAGTAAAAATACTTTTAAGAAAGTAAAATTTATTTTTTAAATAGTACAAGTTGAGAGCAATTCCAAACAGTTTGGGTTTCAGTTTGTAAAAGTAGTAAAAGTTATTTTATATTTGTTGCTTTAAATAATAATTTGAAAATTAGAAAAATTTACTCAAAATAAAGTTTCCAAGTTTAAAAACACTGAGAAAATAATATAAAACGGTTTTTGATTTTTCCTAATTTCTTTATTTAACTTTTCCTAATTGTTAAATAACTAGAAAAATTCTTAACTTACAAAAATTTTAATTTTTGAAGAAAAACTTATAGAAATTGTAATTTTTTTGAAACTAAAAAAATTGTAACAAAAAAAAAATTACAATTTCTATAAGTTTTTCTTCAAAAAAACGATAAGTGGAGAAAATTCATGATTTTAAGTGTTTCAGGGTTTAAAAAAAGAAAAGCGGAAAAAAGTGAATAAATTTAAAAAAGGGATTAACTATGATTCCTGTAATTAACTAATTTGACAAATAAACATATTTTACTAAACTTTCTGACTTTAGTAAAAAAAATTCTTTTCTTTTGAAAAGAAAAAGAGGAATCGAAATGACCAGAAATATTTGAATTATTAATTAATAAATTAATAAATTGATCAATTAATTAATTGGTTAATAAAATTAATAAATCAATTAATTAATTAATTCATTAACGAACGAAAGAATTTATTACTGCTTTTATTGGTTTTTTCTTTCTTGTACCTTGAAGACAATTATAACCAACATGATATTGATGTTGCATGATGTTTATTCTGTCTTTTTCCTCCTGTCGTCGTCGTGTTTTCAAAGTTATTGGATAACGACGAGTTTGAAGGTACGCACCCCTCGGTCTCTCAATCTCTGACCACTTCATTATTAACACTTTTACGTGAATAACTATTTTTTCTACTCATTCGCACAAAAATGCAAAAAAAAAAAATTCAATAATAAACAAAAATAAACTTGCACAATAATAAATAACAGCAAATATATTCCAATTTTTTGTCGATGAAGCAACTAGAAGTCTGCCTCCAAGTGGTCAATATCTCAGATATGTTGTGTACCGACGAGTTATCAATGTGACCACGTGGTTAAATCGGCGTCGAAACTCGGGCGAAGATGAATATTTCAAAGTTATTCTCTTGATTTTTTCAAATTCTATTTATTCTAATTCGAATTCTAATAAAATTTCTCAATTCCTAATTTTTAATTCTATTTATTATTTACTAGATACTGCAGAATAAAATTCTAAACAACTAATTTTTTTCCCTCTGTCGAAATAGAGAAAATTTGATAAGTTGACAATTTTCGAGCAATTTTCAGTCTTGAAGAATTCTTGAAAAATTCTTGAAAAATTCTTGAAGAATTTATGAAAATTTTGAGACAAATTTCAAGACGAAAATTGAGTGTAAAATTAAAGTGATTAAATTCTTATCATTGAATTTGAATCTTAAAGAGATTGAGAGACAGAGAGAGGGGGAGAAAGTGTTAAATAACAAAGAAGACAAGAAAACATTTTAGTGCCTGCGACCATGCATTCGAGGTCGTTTCATTACGACCTCATGATGATGCGCTGATGATGATGATGACGATACTGATGTATCTCGTTTAAACGATAATGATGTTCAACTTTGTTTCTCTTATTAATAAAAATTTAAATACTTCTTTCTTAGAGATTCATTGCTCTCAATTAAGCAAAAAAATAATTTTTTTAATAGTTCTTTCCACTAATTAATTATAAACAATATGCTTTGAAATATATATTTTCAATAATTTTTAATTCAGTTATTTTTTGTTTTATTTTTAATTGTTTCCTTCCTTTTCTATTTTTTTCCTTATTTCTTTTATTTTCTATTCCTTTTATTTTTTGTTTTATTTTTCATTTCTTTAACTTTTTATTTTATTTACTTTTTTATTTTTATTTCTTTTACTTTTAATTTCTTTTAATTTCTATTTCTTTTATTTTCCATTTCTTTTATTTTTTTTTCCTTTACTTTTTATTTCATTTATTTTCTATTTATTTTATTTTTAATTTCTTTTACATTTTATTCCTTTTCTTTTGCATTTCTTTTATTTTTTATTTCCTTCACTTTTTATGTCTTTTTTATATTTATTTCTTTTTATTTTTTTAATTTTCCATTTATATGCCTAATAGTTAATACTAATTACATAAATGATAATTAAGAAAACAAACGATAAAATTTGCTGAATCATGTATATCAATAACAATTATTAAGTTTCTACAGTTATAAACGATCGAATGATCAAAATTTATTTATTTTCTGTTTTAAATTTAAACTTTATTATAGAATAAATATTGCATCACGTTTTATAAAAGTAATTTAAGTTTTCACAGTGATTAATTGTTATTTTAATTTTTATTGCTGGCAGTAATATTTGAAAATATTTAGTGAAAAATTTTTCAATTACTCGAAAATTCAGAATTAAAACATAATAATTTAATTGAATTTTTGTGCAATTAACTGCAAATAAATATTTACTTGGACCCAATATTTTTATATTAAATAAAATAAAAACATTTATTTGGTTTGAATAAATTTTATTTAGCTCAAATAAAATTCTGTTTGGATTCAAAAATTTTTATTTGATTAAAATAAAATTTTGTTTGTTGACATAAATTTTAAGAAATTAAATTTTATCTGGTACAAATAAAATTCTTTTTGGTTCAAATAAATTTTATTTAATGAAATTCTATTGAGTTCAAATAAATTTTATTTAATGAAATTCTGTTGAGTTCAAATAAAATTTTGTTCGTGTCAAATAAATTTTATTTGATAAAATTCTGTTGGGTTCAAATAAAATTTTGTTTGATTCAATTAAAATCATTTTGGGTTTAAAAAAGTTTTATTTGGTTCAAATAAAATTTTGTTCGTGTCAAATAAATTTTATTTGGTTCAAATAAAATTTTGAACTAGTCAAATAAATATTATTTGATAATATTTTGTTTGGTTCAAATAAATTTTATCAAATAAAAGTTTATTTGGATCAAATGAAATTCTTTTTGGTTCAAATAAAAGTCTGCTTGGTTCAAATAAAAATCTATTTGATTCAATTAACATTCTTTTTGGTGCAAATAAATTTTATTTGGTTGAAATAAAATTTTGGAAAAGTGAAATAAATTTTGTTTGGTTAAAAACAAATTTTATCAAGAAAAATTATGTTTGGTTAAAATAAAATTTTGTTTGATTCAAAAAAAATTATATAAAAAATAATTTTGTTTGGTTAAAAAAAAATTCTGTTTAGTTCAAATAAAATTCTGTTTAGTTCAAATAAAATTTTGTTTTTGTCAAGTAAATTTTATTTTGTTCAAATAGAATTTTGCACGAGTGAAATAAATTTTCTTTGATAAAATTTTGATTGTTCAAATAAATTTTAATAAAAAAAATTTTGTCTGGTTCACATAAAATTCTTTTTGGTTCAAATAAATTTTATTTGATAAAATTCTGTTGAGTTCAAATAAAATTTTGTTCGTGTCAAATAAATTTTATTTTATATAATTCTGTTGGGTTTAAATAAAATGTTGTTTTATTTAATTAAAATCCTTTTTGGTTTAAAATTTTATTTGGATCAAATAAAATTCTTTTTGGTACAAAAAATTTTATTTAGTTCAAATAAAACTCTTTTTGATTCAAATATATTTTTCAAAAAAATTATATAAAAAAAAATTTTGTTTGGTTTCAAATAAAAGTCTGTGTGGTTGAAATAAAATTTTGTTTGGTTCAAATAAATTTTATCAAATAAATTTTATCAAATAAATTTTATCAAATAAAATTCTGTTTGGTTCAAATAAAGTGTTGTTTTGTTCAGAGTAAAAATTCTACATCTGTTAAAAATAAAATTTGTTTTTAAAACAACCATAAATAATTTAATTGGTTCTGAGACAAGTCTACAACTTTTATTTAACTCAAAGAAATTATCTTTGATTTAAATAAACTTTTTCTCTCTGCGTGTAGCATTTCTCGAAATTAATGAACTTTTTATTATATATTTAAAACGAATCGTCAAATGCATTAACGTGAGATCGTATGCAAGTAATATTTGACTAGACAGGAAGTTTGTAATTTTCATTAGTTTGAAATGAGAACAGGTCACTCACGACAATCTCTTATTAATGCATACACATGTTATTTGGCATATGTTTGAAGTAGCATAGGCGTATATTCATGTTACTTGATAAATTTTCTTTTTTCAATTTTCAAGTAGACGTTATATTAATTTTGACACCATAATTTTGCACTAAGTTAAAGACAGACACGTGTCATCTTAGAAACTATCTTTCAAGACTATCTTCTAAGATTATATTCATCCATTCTGTTTGACATTTTTCTAAAAAAATTCTTTCTCTCTCTCTCTCTTTCTCTCTAGCTCGCTAACTCACTCAAAAAAAAGAGAGATAAAAATTCCAAATTTTTATGAAAAAGTCTTAAATATCTACTTTTAAAAGACTTAAGTTTATTTGCCTTGTTATCGTACCTTTTGTGCCTGAGATATGATATCAGGGGATTGAATACTTTCCTCTGCTTATTGCTTGTTATGTTGTTTTGTGTGCTTTAAAATCAGATCAATAATGATTGAAAACAATTTTTCACCTACTTAAAGTGTTAGGTAATAAGTAATGATTCAAAAGAAGGGAATCGATAAAATCGGGAATTTTTAATATATTAAAGAATTGAAAATTTTAAATTTGAATAGAGATAATTTTTAGTTCAAATAATGTTCCCAAAATTTCTGAAATGAAATGAAGAATATTTTTTTTCCTTATCAAACTTAAAATTTTATTGTTGTAATAATATTTTTTATTCTTATTTTTATTTATTATTTCCTCTATTTTCTATTTTTTTAATTTTTAATTTGCTTTAGAATTTGCTGCAAAAAAAACTGAAATTTGCTTTATAAACTGATTTTTGTTGCAAGAAGTTTTGCCATTATTTATTTCTTTATTAGAATTTGTTTATTTATTTATTATATGCAAATTAAAAATTAACTGCATACAAATAAAAATGCTATTGCAAATAAAATTATTAATTTCTATTATCTTTTTATTAATATTAATTGTTAATGATAATTTTATTAGTAATTAAATATTTTTTTCAAATTAACTTTTTCTAAATTAATAATTATAATTATAATTTTACTTTCTACTTTTTACAATGGTTAGTAATTATTATAAATATTTATAGTAAAAAAAATTCATTCATTTGAACTTTCAGAAATTGTGGTTAATTTAAAATACCTCCAGAAAATAATTTTTCTTGATTTAAAGAAATTATTTGCTTTGAACTCGTTTCTTAGATTGAAAATTAATTATTTTCTGATTCAAAGAAAATTTATTGAATTCAAAGACAATTTGTTTGATTCAAAAAAAATTTGACTCGACTCAAAGAAAATTTGTTTGATTAAAAAAAAACTTTTTGATTCAAACACAATTTATTTGTTTCAAACAAAGTTTCCTTCTCAAATAATGGAATATAATTTAATAAATAAGAAAAATAATTTAAAAATATAATAAAATTTCTTTCGTTTAAAGAACGAATTTCTTGAATTCAAAGAAATTTTCCTTTTTAAATATTATGGAATATTTAATAATTGAATAATTTTTTTTATCTAAAGAACGAATTTCTTGCGTTCACAGAAAATTTATTAGATTTAAAAAATGTATTTTCCTTTATTTTAAAAATTTGTATTAAAAAAAATCTATATGATTGAAAGAAAATTTATTTGATTACAACAAATTTATTTGTTTCAAAGAAATTTTTCTTTTTAAATTATGGAATATAATTAAATAGATAGAAAACAAATTCAAAGAAACAATTGGAATTTTTTTTGTAGATCAAATTTCTTGGATCCAAAGAAAATTTATTAAATTAAAAAAAAATGTATTTTCTTTAAAAACAATTTATTTCTTTCAAAAAAATTTTCCTTTTTAAATTATGAAATTTAATTTAATAAATAGAAAACAAATACCAAAAATTTATAGAAATTTCTTTGAATCTAAGAACGAATTTTTTGGATTCAAAGAAAATTTATTAGATTAAAAAAATTTATTTCATTTCAAGAGTATTTATTTGATTCAAAGAAAATTTTCTTGGTTAAAAAAAATGTATTTCCTGTAAAAACAATTTATTTCTTTTAAAGAATTTTTCCCTTTTGGAAATTCTGGAATTTATTAATTAATTAATTAATTAATTTATTTATTTATTTATTTATTTATTTACAAAAACAGTTCAGAATTTGTTTCCAAGAAATTTTTTACTTTAAAAATATTTATTTAATAATTAAAAAAAAATTTTTTAAGTGATAAGAATTTGTTTGACTTGAAGAACAAATTTCTAGGATTCGAACAAAAATTTTTCTTTGATTCTTTCAAATCAACTGAAAATTTGTTTAAATCAACTAAAACTTTGTTCAAAGCAAAGAAATTTTCTTTGACCAAAAACCCTCTTTTTGTGTGAAAGAAAAATTTATTTTCATTGAAACAAAACGAGTATAAGAAACTATAATTTCTTTAAAATTAACAAAAACATTTTTCTTGGATGTAAATTCGAAAGAAAAATAAATTTGTTTGATTTAATATTAATTTTTTTGATATACCTTCAGTTCTAGCATGTTTTCTGCTGATATCCTCAAGTTGTTGCAAGGAATCCTCGGCTGGACGTTTGAGTAAATTTTTCGTTTGATTAAGAACTATCGATGATGAATTATTTTGAGGTGATGCGCTACTCGAACGTATTTGTGTTTCTGATTCTGGAGAATTTTTAACCATATTTCGCTTCTCCTGCCAAAGATCATTGCTCGGATCGTGATATCCCATTGACTGGCGAAAAAAATAATTCCTTAGTCCATTTTTACAGGAAAAAAAATACTCTCTAAATTTTGTATTAATGTAAAAAATGTTTAGTAATTTGAATTAGCAACTGATTTTTTGCTTTTGAATTAGTAAATTTTTTCTAAAAAATGAGTAGGAATTACTATTTAAATATAGAAACTACTATTTAAATATAGAAACTACTATTTAAATATAGAAACTACTATTTAAATAGAAATTACTATTTAAATACAGAAATTACTATTTAATTTTAAATAGAAATTACTATTTAAATATAGAAATTACTATTTAAATATAGAAATTACTATTTAAATAGAAATTTATTATTAGCAATACTGATAAATTGTAATTTCTACTCATTTGTTAGTCAAATTTATTAATTCAAAAGCAAAAAGTCAATAAACATTTTTACTAATTAAAAATTAGAGAGTAATAAGCAGCAAGTAAATAATTAAGAAAGTCAAGAATAAAAACAAAAAATATAGTCAAAAATAAGAAAAATAAGCATTGAGTTAAAAATAAGAATAACAAGCACAGAGTCAAGAATAAAAATAATAACAAAGTTAAGAATAAAAATTGTAAGCATTTAGACACTAAGAAAAAATAATTGTTCAAAAAAAAAAAAAAAATTCAAAGAATTCTAATTTTAAAAGAAGAATATTTCTGAGAAACTAAAAATTAAAGGATAATTACTCCAGAATTAAGAAAAAAGTTAATAAAAATAATAAGGACAATTATACATTACATAAGAAAAATTTTGCACTTTTATTGCACTTTGAAAATAAAAATTACAATTACTCACTTGAGCTGTGATCCCTTCACACACATTTTGATGACTCGATGAGACTTGTTGATAAGAAGGCGAAGAATTGTTCAACCACATTGTCCCGCTGAGGGTTTCGGGTCCAGTATCCATAATTAGTTGAAGCTCCATTTGATCCAAAAAAAAATTTTCCCTCTTTTCAAAGACAAAAAAAAAACAACAACAACAACAAAAATCCGGTTTGAAAAAAATTTTTTTTTTGAAAATATTTTCCCTCGTGCTTTTCTCTTTTTAATTATTAGAAAAAATGATTCTTTTTCATCTAAACTCTTCTCTCCTTCAGATTGTCTCTCATAGTAAAAAAAACTATTTTTTTTAAATTCCCTCACTCAAATTTCCTTGAGTTCACTTTTCCTTCAATTTTCTTTGAATTTTTCTTTTTTTTGCACCCTTCTACTCTGAGAGAATGATAATGGCAAAAGGGCATTAAGACCCTTTTTGGCACAATACTATCCGTTTAAATTGGATAATTTAAACTATTCCTTAGAACATTACAAAGAAACTGTTGTACAATTTCTTAATTCCAGTAGTTTCGCGTTGTCGATGTGTTTCCAAAAGTGCGCAACCACGCGACTTGAGTGACAAAAAACGTGAAAATACAACAAATGCATCACCGAACACCATCGTAAGGCCTTGACTGCTACGCATTTTGTTTTGAATTTTGTTTGACTTGAGGATAATTTTTTCGATTATTCTTTTTTTCCTTCTTGATTCGTTGGTTTTTTTTCGGGATTTTATTCTTTATTGTTCTTTCTCTTTTTTTCTTCTTCTTCCTTCTTTTTTATTCTCAAGAAGACTAAGAGTCGTTGACTTTTTCTGTCAACACCTGTTTATCACTTTACACAAGTGTAACTTTTTTTTCGAGTATTTTTAAACGTCACAATTTTTTTTTTTTCGTCAAATTTTTCTGTTGAAACAATTTTTTTTTTTTTATTGAAACAAAAATGCCTTATGCCTTCTGTCAGTGGATATTATTTTCTAACGACTATTCCTCGCACACTAGTTAGTGTCTTGATAGTAAAAAACCTTCTTGGCATTTCGTCATCACATTTTCATGATTCTCCGCTCCATGGCGAGCGTAAAATTAAATATCAAAACTTTTATATATTCGTGATTTTTAACAACTTCTTTGCGCACTTTCACTCAAATAATTTATTAATAACACTTGGTTAATTCCTCTTTAAATCCAGAATTAAATTTTCTCCAAAAAGCGAATCGCTCCAACTTTCAAAATTCTTTTCTTTCCCAAAAACAACAACAACAACAACAACAACACTCGATCTTAATGTCTTTCGAATAACAAGAGCCAATACAATTGTGCCATTCAGCTGATGATGATCACTTCTTTGGTGATTACAACAAGTAAATTCACTTTTTAGTATTATCAATCGAGATATCAATTTTAATATTTAATTTTAAACACTTTTCTTGTTTCTGTTTTGGAAACAAATGTCCAAAGTGATGATGAATGGAGAAAAAAAATTTCTACTTGAGAAATAAATTATTTTCGGAGGAAAAATAAATAAAATTTTTTTTAAGAGAAAAATTGAATAGTCGATGCTGTCAGCTTGAAAGTACTGTGACAAATACTCAAGTAAAGCAGTCGCATACGCGACAATTATGAGTCGTGATCTAATCCCTAGAAAGATTAAGAGGTCGACCAATAGGAGTGGGGAAAGAGAATCGACCTGACCCTCAATTGGAACCACTCAACGACTTGATGAACAAAACGCGTTTATCTCATACCTTAAAGTTCTCGTGAAATTAAAAATATTTCCTCAACATCTCCTTTAGATCTCCTCTAGACGACTATTCCACCAGTTTCAATATTTATTCACAAATTTTTAATTTTCAATATTTATTATATTTATAATATTTATCAAATTTATAATATTTATAATATTTATAATATTTATAATATTTATAATATTTATAATATTTATAATATTTATAATATTTATAATATTTATAATATTTTGAATGTTGATTTTTTACTGTTGATTTTTAATGTTGATTTTTAGTGTTGATTTTTTTAGTGTTGATTTTCCAGTGTTGATTAACACCAAGTTGATAAATTTCCAATTAAATTCAATTTAATTTTTGGTCCAATTTCAAGTAAATATTCTGCTTCTGATCAATTTTTAATTTATCAATATATTTATATCCTCAATATTTTTGAGGAGTCAATAACTTGAGTTAATAATTTTTTTTGTATAGAAAAAATTTTCCACTCTCTTTATAACATTCTTTTGGTGATTTGTTAACTAATTTGAAAGTAATTTCTATACGCATCAAAGGCACATAACAAACTGAGTTAAATTGTTTCTTGATTAGGAATCTCGATAACAGCAAATTACTCTTTTATTTGTTCAGTAAATCTCTCCACGGTTGGTAACTTCTTTTTTTTTTTATTCTTTAAATTGCTATCAGCAGGCAATTGAGTATTGACTTTTTATTTTTTTTTTGTTTGGTAAAATTTTCTTCTTTTTTATATTCAAATAATGTAAGAGCCAGATCCAAAAATCGGATAAGAAAATCTGAAACAATAAAAGGAGAACAAAATATCTAAGATGACCTCGTTGATAAAAATTAATTCAAATATTTTAGTTTGAAATTAATTAAACGGTTGAGTATTTTGGTGGAAATTAATTTAAAGTTTAAACATTTAACAGGCCTCGGATTTTATGATTTTTTTCGGCTGTTTTAAAAAAGAAACTTTTATTTCGACTTATTTTCAAAAATTGCGACTTTTTCTATTTTTTTCAAATATTGCAATAAAATAACAGATTTTTAGTATAAATTGCAACTTATTTCGATTTTTATAATGTGAAAAATAACTAATATATGTATAGACAAATCATTCAAAAATTACTTTTTATCATTTTTTTAAGATAATCGAATTTTTAAAAATTTAATTAAAAAATTTTCGAATAATTAAAATTTTGTAAAATTTAAATGAAAATATTTGATTTTTTTCAAGTAATTTTAAATAAATTTTAATAAAATTTTTAAAATATAATTTAAAAAATTTTCGAATAATTGAAATTTTGTAAAATTTAATTCAAAATACTTGATTTTCTTTAAAGTATTTTATTGCAATTTTTGAAAATCAAACTTATTAAGAATTTCCAATGCAAATTTTAAAAATTATTGAATTCTCAAAAATTTTAAGAAAAAACAATCCTATTCAAAATTTTTAATTAAAATTCTTTAAAAAATTATTTCGTTTTTTTTTTTAATTTATACAAAAATTCTTTTAAGAAATTCAATTATTTCCGAAAAATTACATTTTTAAAAAACTAATTCTTAGAATTATTTTATCAAAATTTTTTAAAATTCAATTATCTTCGAACAAAAGTAAATTAAAATTTTTTTAAACTTACTTTTCTAGACTTATTCAAATTTCGGAAAAATCAATTATGTTCTTATTTAAAATTAAAATTTTTCAAAAATTTGATTAGCTTTGTTTATATTTTTCAAAAATTCAATTATTTTCAAAATATTTCACAAAATTTCAATTAATTAGAAATTTTCCTATTGTATAAAATTGAAAAACAATTATCTTAGAAAAATTATTTAAAAATATTTTTAAGAAATTAATTTTAAAAATTTCTTTATTATAATTTGTTTAAAATATTTTACCTTTATAATTTTTTAACAATTACAGTTACAATTATTATCAAAAATTAAATTTTTGTATTTAAAATTTAAATAATTGAATTCTCGAGGAATTTTCGGAAAATTATTCCAAATAATTGATTCTGAGATAAAGTTTACTTAAAAATTGTAGAAAATAATAGAATTTTGGAAGAGTTACAGTAGTAATTTTTAGAAATTATAAAATTTCAGGAGATTTTGAATTGAAAATTTCAAAATTTTATTTCCCTTGGAAAAACAATTGAGAAGTATTTAAATTTTTATTTATTTTTTTATAAGTTTTTAACTTCAAGTTTTAAATAATTGAATTTAGAAATCAGTAAAAGGTCAGAAAAACACAAAATAACATTTTTGTGAAAACACTGAATTATATAAACGACTTTTTCGACTTTACTTCTATTTTTAATCGACTAAAGGAATTTAAAAAAAAACTGCAATGTTTTCGAATTATTTTTGAAAAATCCAACTATTTCGACTTTACCTCCTCAAATTAAAAACGTTTATTTTAATCAGTGTTGTCATAAAAATTTCAATTTGTATTTCCCTGATCTTTCCTTGATTTCTAAAGTCAATTATTCAAAACTTCAATAATTTTGTTGAATAAATATTCAAATATTTGACCTTTATTTTTTTAATTTTTCTACAAGAATTAAGATTATTTAAATTTTTATTTCAAATCTTTTAAAATTTCATTATTTTGGAAAGGTTACAGTTGTAATTTTTAGAAATTATTAAATTTCAGAAGATTTTAAATTGAAATTTTTTAAATTTCATTTCCCAGGAAAAACAAGAAGTATTTAAATCTTTATTTAAAAAAATTATTCAAGTTTTGAATAACTGAATTTAAAAATCAGTGAAAGGTCAGGGAAATACAAAATAAAATTTTTATGAAAACACTAAATTAATTAAACGACTTTTTAGACTTTTTTTGTATTTTTAATCAACTAAAGTGATTTTTTTTTTGCTACTTGAAGTCGATCCGAGGCTTGAGTTAAGTATTTTAGCTAGTAGGAGGATAAAATAGATTAAACTGGAAAAGTAGAAAAATAGAAAAATAGTAAAGTAGAATAATAGAATGATAGGAAAGTAGAAAAGTAGAAAAATTGAAAAATTAAAAAATAGAGAAATAGAAAAGTAAATAAATAGAAAAGTAGAAAAATGGAAAAATAAAAGAATAGAAAAGTAGAAAAAATAAAGTAGCACAAATAAAAATTAGGTTGTGACCCAAGTTTATCTTAATTTCGGTTAAATTTTTTTCATAATGCACATTCATTTATATTATTTACTTCTTTAACAAAATAATGATGACCAACTTGATGAAGCAAAACGCCTGAGGTTCGTTGATTAATGTCAATCGGTAAGGTCAGACTTTAAACGCGTCTTACTCTTTCAAGATAAATTATTATAAACTATATCTATATCTGAAGAAACCTGCATGCACACAAAACCCCCCAATGGCACTGATTTAGAAAAAAAAACACGTTTGCATTGATAATTCACATTATAATAACAGTTTTATAGCAAATGAATAAAATAATAAAAAAATAAAAACAGAAAAATAAAAACCTAAAAATTAAAACTTAAAAAATAACTAAAAATAAGTAAAATAATAAAAAAAAGTAATTTTCAAAATTATAAAATTTTTACAAAAAGTAAAAAATAAAATATAAACAGGAGAAAATTTAATAAAGAAAAGCAAACCTTAGAATTACACTTATTAGTTAATTAACTTAAAAATACAATGAAACACTACGATAAACACAGTTAAAAATTTAAAAACTCAAAAACAAAAAGTACACTTTAGTCAATTTTCCCAAAAACCTATATTTTTTCTTCATTTTCGTTATAGAATGTATTTTTCTATTCTCCTTGAAATATTATCCTCTTTTTTTTTCATTAATTATTATTTCGTTGAACGTAAAATATCTGCGACATTATCACGGTTGCATAACACACAAGAAGAGACACACTTTCTGCTAAATATTTTTATGATCTTAATTCGTTAAAGATTTTCCTGATACTAAATTATTATTCTTAATGAAGAGCTTAATACGGCACTCTTATTGGATGAAGATAAGAGAAAAAACTGAAATGGTTTTCAAGTTTATAATTTCAGATAAATTCCACGTCTTTTTTTGAAAGCACATAGAGCAGCTGATTATACAAAAGTGTAAAGCGCTAAGCAATCGTATATCTTCCTAACTGTTAAGGCAAATAATAATGAAATAAGAGTGGGATTTTTCAATTCAAGAGTTGGCAATGAATTTATAATTAATAATGAGAAAAAAAAAATTTAGTACTCAGAAAATTAAAATAGAAACAAAACTTTTTTTTATGAGGAAGTGGTAATTAATTTAAAGAAAAATTTTTCGTTTCTTGAGAAATAGTTTCTTAAAAAGTACATGATCCAGTATAGTTTTGAACGGAATTTATTTATTTATACTTTAAATTAAATTTTCATTAAAATAATTTTGATTCACTAAGAAAAAAAAGTCAGTTGCGACACTGTATAAATAATTAATTGAAACAATTTCTAAATGGAGAATTAAAATTTTTAATTTATATTGATGACAGTAATTTATTTCAGTTTAATATTTTCAATAACGTATTTATTTATTTATTCGTTATCAATTTATTATTTATTGAAACAATTTCTAAATGTAGAATTAAAATTTTTAATTTTTATTGCTGACGTTAATTTTTTCAGTTTAATATTTTCAATAACGTATCTATTTATTTATTTATTCGTTGTCAATTTATTATTTATTTACTATTTATTTATTATTTATTTATACACTATTTATTTACAGTTCATTCACGATTTGTTTATTATTTATTTATTTACTAATATCTGCTTTTGAAAAAATGTTGGATTTTTAAAAATTAAAAATCTTCTTATATTATTTTACTCAGAGTTGTAAAAGTTGGAAATTTTTTTATAAATGGTAAAAAATATAAACTAATTTTCACTAATTTTACAAAGTAAAACCCAAACTGATTGTAATTGCTGTCGATTTGTACTAGTTCAAGAATAAATTTTATTTAGTCGAAAGTATATTTTACTAATTTTTATTGAAATTTACTTTACTTTTAACATTAATTTTGATTCAAAATTTAGAAAAATGGCAGATTACTGAAAAAGTTATAAAAAAATATTAATCTAATCTTCTAATCTAAAACTTAGAGTTTACACATCAAAATTAACAGAAAAAATTAAACAAAAAAATTCGATTCAAAAAAGCTGCAATTAAAATAAAAAATATTTATAATTCATTTTGTTCGGTACAATACAATAATTTTTTACTTAATTTAAAAAGACCCCAACTATTTATGGAATTGCTAAGAACTTTTACTATTTATAAAATTAATTTTACTAAGTTGAAAGTAAATTTTACTCATTTTTATTAAAATTTTTTTGAAATGTTATAAAATTTACTCCAGGAATACCAATTTTTAATAGTGAATTTTACAAAGTTTGGAGAAAATTTTCCTAAATCCATAGTAAAATTTTACTAATTTTTACTAAAATTTATTTTGAATCGAGTAAAATTTATGGAATTTTAGTCTTTTAATTCTTCTTACAAAAATTTTTTATTAAAATTTAGAAAAATTGCAAATTATCGAAAAAGTTAATGAAAACATTAAATTTAATCTAAAACTTAAAGTTTGTACAATTATTGTACAATTATTTCTAACTTAATTTAAAAACATCCAAAATATTTGGAACTTCTAAGAACATTTACTATTTAAAGAATTAATTTTACTCAGTTGAAAGAATACTTTACTAATTTTTATTCAAATTTACTTCGAATGTTTAAAATTTACTCTGGAATAATAGAATCTTACTTTTTTCACAGTTAATTTTTGTATACATTTTTTTTATATTTTTTTCCAGCTTCGTACAATTTGTTTTAAAAAAATTATTATTCACAGAGTAAATTTTACTACTTCTGAGCTAAATTTTTATAATTTTGATTAAAGAAATTTTTTTTGAAAATAGTAAAAGTTATTTTGGAAATATTAATTTTTAATAGTAAATTTTACTAATTTTTGTGGGAAATTTTACCAAATCTAAAGTTAATTTTTACTGAAATTTACTTCGGATTTAGTAAAATTCATGGAATTTTAAAACTAATGTAGTGTTGTAACAAAAATTTTGACTTAAAATTAAAAGTTAAAAAAAATAATTAATTTATCTAAAACTTTGAATTTATGCAACAAAATTAACAGAGAAAATTGATCAAAAAAATCCGAGTTAAAAAAGCTGCAATTACAAGAAAAATTAAAAAAATTGTACAGTAAACTGTTTTTGCTATCAAACAAAAATTTCTTATTTAATTTAAAAAGATCTAAACTGCTTGGAATTGCTAAGAACTTTTACTAGTTGGAAAATAAATTTTACTAAGCTAAAAGTATATTTTACTAATTTTTATTAAAGTTTACTTCGGATTTAAAAAATCGGTTTTGTATAAAAATTATTTAAATTTTCTTCCAGCTTCGTACAATTTGTTATTAAAAATTATTATCCACAGAGTAAATTTCACTACTTATGAGCTAAATTTTTATAATTTTGATTTCAGAAATTTTCTTCGGAAATAGTAAAAGTTATTCTGGAAATTATAATTTTTAATAGTAAATTTTACTAATATTTTTGGAAGAAAATTCAACCAAGTCCGAAGTTAATTTTTATTAAGTTTTACTGAAATTTATTTCGGATATAGTAAAATTCAGAAAATTCTAAAACCAAACTAATTTAATAGAATTAATTTAATAGAATTTAAAATTTATTTTAATTTTTTACTTTTTTTGTTAATAATTTAAATATAATGTATTTTCTTTTCTTTTGTGTTTCAGGTGAGTTATAACACATTTTTCCTGACGAGTTTATTTCGTAAGTAAATATATATTTTGAAACATCTTTATAATTATATATTAGAAGTAAAATCTAATAATTATCCAATGAATTATTAAAAAAAATTTTGATTCATTTATTTAACGAAAATTATCAGTATCAATACGAAATAACTAACAATAGAAGTACGAGATAAAAAATATAGTATCGATTACAGAAGTCTGACAAAATCGTAAATTATATTCTCAACAAGTCACATACACGATACAAAAGCAAATTTTAACATTGAAACTACGTTTTGGGATTGTCGAGGTTACAAACAAATGTCCCCTTCCCAATGAGAGGCACTTTAATTACAAAGGAAGTGAAGTAATTTACTCCTTTTTTTTTCTTTTTCCAATAGTGTTATCTCTATGCAATCATTATTATATCATTTAAACTGAATAGAAACATTGTTTACCTAAATTTAACAACGTTTAATTTACTCTCAACAATTTTTAACTATAAAAAATGGAGTTTCGCTTTCGAGACATATAAATCAATCTGCGTTATTACAAAATATTTAAACTAAGGTATAATTTCCGCCATTTGTTTACATTCGGATTCGAGAATCCCACACCAGACCTGATAACGATGATTAAGACCAGGTAACGAATGCAAGACAGTTTTACTTCCAAGGACTCCCGACGAGACGTTTGCCATTCCATAAAATATTTTACCAACTCTCGAATGTAATAATGCCATTGCACAAAGTGGACATGGTTCCTGAAGTAGAAATACCCAATATCCAGTACATAAATAAGGTCCCTCTTTAATTTTCACTGTATTATTTGAATTGTATGAATTGTTTGAATCATCTTCGGAATTCTTGAATTTTTCCATCTTCGGAATTTCTAGTTTTGATTCTGTGTGAGTATTCTTTGTCAGTGGTTCTAATTCAGGAAATACAATGTCCGACATTGTGGGATAACAAAGTGGAATTGACGAGTGAAATTTCCTTTTATTCTCTAATTTATCTTGATGAGTCATGTCGTGTAGGGAGGAAATTTTCCTCTTAGTGGCATTATCATCATTATTTAGGTTCCACACACCACCGCCTTGGGATTTAGCGACAAGATCAATGGCCAACATTGATGCATGATACATTGGATGCTGATTAATTTTCGCCGTTGCCAGTGCCAAAATTTGTCCACTCTCTGGATCGACTATCATTGCACTTCCACCACAATTTTCATTTCCAATTGATTCCCTTTTTGCCGCTTCTATTATTATTCGCATACATTTTTCCATTGAATCCAGTTGCTTGTCATTGAATTCTTTGCCTGAAAGAACAGCCTCGAGTCTAATGTCCGGATGAAAATTCACTGGCCATACTTTAGATGCTTTGGATGCTTGAATTTTTGTTTTCGGCGCTCTAAGTGGAACGGAAATTATCTCAAAGTTATCTTCGAGTAGAGATAGGTCAAATCCTTTTTTTTCGAGAAAAGCTTTAACATCGTCTGAAGATAAATTTAAAGATAAATTATTACAATTTTCTCCAAGATAAATTTCTTTGTCTGATAATGACTCTCTACATGGACAAATAAGAATTTTTTGATTAGAACATCGTTTCAAGTGATGAAATCCAGGAAGTATTTGAGAAATACTTTGTATTGCTTTTGATATTGTTTTTTTGTCTTTCAATATTCCAATGTAAAATTCAATATAACTTGGCTCTTCTCTTAATTCTGGAGGTAATACAGGTTTTGCAGTCCAGGTTCTGGTTGTGAATTCCAGTTTCGTTTTTTTTGTTGCTCCTGACATTTTACCCACTAGGACATCCTCGAGATATTTTTTTTCCAAAGTAGCATCCGTGACTGATCCTGAAAAGATGCTGCCTTCATTTCTTGTTTGCTTGGTTGTTAAATAATTTTATTTTGCTAATTATACATAGGGGAAAATAAAACTAATTTTGAGCTGAGATAAATTTTCGAGAGTTGATGTAGAAACTAAGAATAAAGAATGTGAGAAGCTATAAGAATAATAAAATTGAGAAACTGAGAATATTAAAACTAAAAAACTGAAAATATCGGAATTTAAAAACAAGAAAGAATAATAAAATAAAAAAGTAAAAATAAAAAAACAGAATAAAAAACTAAAAATGAGAATTAAAAATTAAAACTAAAAAATTAAAACCAAAAATGACACTGAGAATAAAAAATTAAAATCAAAAATGTCACTAAAAATAAACAAAATTAGAACTTAAAAATGACACTAAGAATAAAAAATTAAAACTAAAAATGACACTGAGAATAAAAAATTAAAACTAAAAATGGCACTGAGAATAAAAAATTAGAACTAAAAATAAAGAGATTTGGAAAAAAACTTCTTTTCGAAATTATTTTAACAATTTGTATAATTCTTCTAATAACAAGCGGGTAAAATACTCTAAATCTTAAATTGCTGTTAACTTAGGCCACGGTCGGATCATTTGTCGCAGTTAGACGCAATTGTTTCTCCACTCTGTGAGACATAAACAATCGTCTTTACAAATATTTGTAAAATTCACTCTTATATTGTTCCAATTTTAATGTTTTTTTAATTTACATTACAATTTGAATATATTTTTATAATTTGGACTTTTTTTTAAAATATGAACTTTCAATTTAAAAAAAATTTTTAGTTTCAACGTAAAAGAAATTATTTAATAGAAAATTTTCTCACTTTGTATAAAATCGATAAAGGATTTTAATTACGTAACAAAATTATCTCTTGCGACACGCACTTTACCTCCAACTTCGTTTCAATAAACATTTAATTAATGTTCGTAAAATAGATTTATGAAATATTTTGATTCTATACAAGATATTGAACCCTGAAAAATAATCTTTAGTTTATTTCTCTAATTTTAATGTAGATTTTCCTCTTATATATATTATATGGTAGGAAAAGTAAAAATCGTTAAGATTTTCCTCTCTCATGTATTAATGACTTGAGTACGTTAATAAACAAATTTATTTATTTTCTTTATTATTTTTTGTACCTGAACTTTGGACCTTCAAATGAACGTCAATATTTTCGTTACTATTCTTAATTTGTATTTCGTAAAAAAATATTAATTTACACATTAAAAATAGTAATTTTTATTTAAGTAAATGTTGAATTTTTTATTTTTTCAATTCGCTTTGGAAATTTTGAAAAATATTCAAATAGAAAAAAAAATTTCAGTTGAAAGTTCAGAGTATTGGTGACAATGAACATCGGAAAATTTTTTCTTGTTTTATTATTAACCACGCATTTTTTATTTATTAACCACACAACCACAGAAAAAAATTTTTTGATTCAAATAAACGATTAGTTGTCTAGTATTGTAAAATATATTTTCTAATTAAATTCAATTTTAAAAAAATTCCAAACAATAATACCTAGTTATTAAAAATAAACAAAAATAATAATAAAAATAAAAACAATAATACTAATAATAATTGTAAAATATATTTTCTAATTAAATTCAAATTTAAAAAAATTCAAAACAATAATAGTTATTAAAAACAAACAAAAATAATAATAAAAATAAAAACAAAAACAATAATTCTCATAATAATTGTAAAATATATTTTCTAATTAAATTGAAATTTAAAAAAAATCAGAGTGATCCAAAAATAAAAACAATAAAAATTTGTTTAAACATTCTGAACTTTAGGATCATGAAATTTTCTCTTAAGAGATTCCTTTTTTTTGTGTCGGATAAACAATAAAATTTGTTAAAAAAAATCTAAAAATCTAAAACATAGGTAAATTTTTCAAACTAAGAAATATTTATAAAAACTTTAAACGCAAATAGTTATTTTTGTCTGTTATACAAGTTTTGCATAAATTTTGAAAATGCATTAAATAAAGTTGATTTCTCAAAGTAATGCAACATTTGCATATTTCCAATTTACGTGTGTAAGAGCTATTTCAATAAAAAGTAATATTTACCCTATGTCAAGTTTATAAATTTTATACTGTATACTTTTTAAATTCTGGAAAAAAGCCAATTTTTTTTAATACACTCTCAAATGCACTTGGAAAAAAATTATGTTTGAATCAAATACTGTATATATTGTTGAATAAACTCAGAGTTTTAGATTAGATTAAAATTGTTTTTTTTTTTATAAAAAAAATTATTTTTGTTTCATAGTCTGCAATTTTTTCAAATTTTGAATCAAAATTTTTTTTTGGAACAATACTTTTGTTATAAAAATTTCATCATGAATTTTATTAAATCTGAAGTAAATTTCAATAAAAATTAGTAAAATTAGTAAATTAATTTACTTTGGACTTGGAAGAATTTTCTCCAAAACTATAGTAAAATTTTACTATTATTTGATAATAGTGGTAATATAATTTACTATTAAAAATTATTATTTCGAGGATAATTTTTACTATTTCCGAAAAAAATTTCTTTATATAAATTAGAAAAATTTAACTCAGAAGTAGTAAAATTTACTCTTGAAATAATAATTTTTAATAAATCTTACGATTTTTAATACAGAAAATTTTACTTTTTATTTTTCTTTCCCCAAAGTAAATTTTTAAACGACCGAAGTAAATTTTAATAAAAATTAGTAAAATATACTTTTAAAGATTTTTATATTTCTTCTTTTGATTGCAGCTTTTTTAAATCGATTTTTTTTTTATTAATTTTCTCTGTTAATTTTCTTGTTCAAATTCAAAGTTTTAGATAAATTAATACTTTTTTTAACTTTCTCCGCATTCTTCAATTTTTCAGAATTTTGAATCATAATTTTTTTAGAACACTTCTTTAATTTTCAAAATTCAATGATTTTAAGGTTTCTTTATATAAATTAGAAAAATTTACCTCTGAAGTAGTAAAATTTACTCTTGAAATAACAATTTTTAATGAAAATTGTACTACACTGGAAGAAAATTTAATAAAATTTTATAGAATTATTAACAGTTGAAAAGTAAAATTTCCAATTTTAAAAATCATACGAATTTTACTAAATCCAAAGTAAACAGTTTTGGGTTTTACTTTGTAAAAGTAGTAAAATTTTTTCTAAATTTTGAATCAAAATTTTGGTTAAACACTACTTTGTTATTAAAATTCCAAGAATTTTACTAAATCCGAAGTAAATAGTTTGGGTTTTATTTTTTAAAAGTATAGTACAAATTTTTCTAAAATTGAAATCAAAATTTTATTTAAATAATACTTTTTGTATTGAAATTCCAAGAATTTTACTATATCCGAAGTAAATTTCAGTGAAAATTAGTTCAAATTTACTCTGGAAATAATTTTTTGATAACAAATTGTATTACGCTGGAAGAAAATTTAAAAAATTTGGTTACAAAAATTATCTGTGGAAGAAATAAAATTTGCTATTAAACATCGTTATTTTCAGAGTAAATTTTACAACATTCGAAGTAAATTTCAATAACTAAAAATTAATAAAATATACTTTCAAGTTAGTAAAATTTATTTTCGAATGGTACAAATTGAGAGCAATTCCAAACAGCCTGAGGTTTACTTAGTAAAAGTAGTAAAAGTTTTTTTTTATATTTTTTACCTCTTGAAAAAATTGCTAAAAGTTTAAAAAGTCTAAGAAAATACTAAAAAGAGATTTTTAAGTTTCAGAAAACCGTAATTATTGCAAACTTTGCCAAAAGTGGAAATTATTTTCAAAACGAAACTAAAAAATTTTAATTTCCCTTAATTACCGAAAAATTAAAATTACAGAAAAAGAGGATAATTTTAGTACGGTTTTCTTTAAAAAAAAAAGAAGAGAAAAGTAGAGAATATGAATGTTTTTACATGTTTTAGGGAATTTTATTAGTTCAAGGGGCTAAAAAAGAAAATTATTCATTTATAAATAAAACCGGATTTAGTCAAAAAAAGGGGTCTAATTATGATCTCTGTAAACAAATGTTTAGTAACAAATGATCAACAAGTTTTCAACGTTTAAATGATCGAAACATTTTTTATTAAAAATTCTCTAATAAATTTCTGCTTACAATAAAAATTCCAAAAGTTAAGTTGTAGTTTTAGAAACTTTACAAATTTATTTTTTTAATAGGGGCACAGAATGATTCCAATAGAAATTTAATTTCAGGAAGAAAAACATTTCCTTGCATTTGAACGTTCAAAACTAGGAGCATGATAGCAAAGCATTTATTTTCTTAATTCAATCAAAATTTTCTTGTTCCAAACAAATTTTTTATTAAAAAAATTTGAGTGTCAAATATTCGAGTGACAAAAATTCGAGTGTTAAATATTCGAATTGTGTATGAAAAATACAATAAGATTTCAAATACAACAATTTTATTCCGTTCTTTGTTATTTGATAAACTCAATCAAAATTTGGTGGTTCCAAACAAATTTCCTTTTGAGTGTAAAAACTATTTTTATATTCGAATGTGTAAAAAAAATAAAATCCGTATTTCAAATGCAACAAGTATTTCAAAAACAAGCCCCCCTCGATCTAAACTCTCTCATTTCCTCACAACAATAAAAATGAACCAATTTCTTCTCTGCGAGTATTCAAACAAACAAAAAAAGCAGAAAATTACTGATCTCTTTTCAAATAAATGTCAAGATTCATAATAAAGTATGTGGAGCGTGAGACGAATCACAAGTAGTAGTTGGAGGATGTGCAAATGGTCAATTTTTGAACGGATAATACGTGCAGATAAGTACGATTAGATTACAATATGATGTTAAAAGTATGACGTCGTTGAAGCTTATTTGCTTCGTTGAGACTGTTCATGAAGATGATTGTCCACTGTCGTGGACATTGCGGGGAAGAAGATAATTGAAGTATTCATCACATATAATGGAATGTGAATTAAATTGACCTTGAGTTTGTGAAAACGTGCGGTCCAAACTTTGGTCTCTCTTATATGCACGACCCTAATTTATCAAAACTTTTTTTGGTTTACAACAAGTGTCTTTATTGTGAGAACGATTCTTTTCAAATGCATATACAATTAATAATAAGGATCCTAAAAGTTTTTCAACGTTCATTTCGAACTTATTTATTACATGTTAACTGATTTATTATAAGCAGTACTGTGAATTTTGATAAATGCGTAAAAAGTTCTTTCATTAACTGATAATTTTCCTTTACAAAATGAAAATTAGATTTCATGTTTCTCAGAAGCGAGTTTCAGAAGAAAATTCGTCTTTCCTTGTGTCAGTTTATTAACACGTCATACTACATTAATTTTTGAATCATTTCGAACGAAAAGCTCTTTTTATGTTTAGGTTTTGGCACTTGAACAAAAAAAGAGTACAGGACTTTTTTTTTTGTTTAGATTTTGGTATATTTTGTGTTTCTCGAACCGAAACCTAAACAAGAACTGTTTTTTTAAGGTTTTGCTTTTGATTTTAATGAAATCTAAGTTTGGAAAAGTTGTCTAAAATAAAGAAAACATTAAGGCAGGTAGTAGCTATATGTTTAAAATTTTTATTGCACAATGACAAAAAAACTATTTGCGTCATCGTGTTAAAATTTACGTTTGCATATATAATTATTATTTTCTGATTTTCTTATGAAATTGTAGGAATACTGAGTCACTTTTACAGACCAGTTGTCTTTGATGACTTGATATATTCAATAACTTCCACTCTCCTATATATTGTGCGTTTATATTGACACGTTGCTCTCACGTGTTTCTGTAATTTACAGCTAATTGAAGCTAACTCTCCACCTCCCTCTTTTTATACAGCCCACAATTTTTAAACTATTTGAAAGTGCCTCCCGACTATACAACGATTTTAGTGGAATTTTACTAAAATGTTTTGTTGTCAACAATCTATGAAAAACCGTTTCAAAATCCCTCACCGAGAATATTATATTTATTAACCCAAAGAATTATTCTGTTATACCATTATTTTTTCAATAAATTATTTATCAGTTTTTATAATCTCTCACCGAATTTTTACAAAAGAATGTTTCTATAATTTGTAAGAGATCCTTTATTGGTAAGAGATTCTTTATTTGTGAGAGATCCTTTATTTGTAAGAGATCCTTTATTTTTAAGAGATCCTTTATTTGTAAGAGATCCTTTATTTTAATGGTACAAACGTAAAATCCGATAAGTATCCGTATCATAGTGCATTACATTTTGTACGATTTTGTTCATACAAAAGAAAAATTTTTAATTTTAATCGGAAACATTTAAACTCTTGTCGAAGGTAAAAGCTTTTTTAAAAAGTAAGTTATCTGTAAGGAAGAGATAACTTTTTAGTGAAATTTTAGCGTCAACAATGGAGTTTAAATGTTTGTTTACTTTCTCTACCTACTCTATTTAGTGCGCTTCTCAATCACCAGACGTCGCATCACCAATAGCCAAACCCAATAGCATGCATATCGAACGTGTTTCTTATATAACAAAAAAAAAATCGAAAACCGAACAACAATCCAAAGTGGGACATATCCTGCGTAGTTAAACAAGTTTGCAATAATACTTTACATTATTATATATAAATATAACCTTGATTCTAAACTTCCATTTTACGTAAAAATACCTCCAAATACAAAAGGTATTCGGATGGTATTTTTACGTAAAATGGAACTTTAGAGAACATCTTAGACAAAAAATCTTGAAACCTTGAAGGGAAAATATAATAATTTTCTAATATTAAAGTCGTTTTTCAATTTTGAAAAATAATTAAATCCTCGATAAAGTTTAAATTGTAGTGGTTAGAATTGTTTATTGGGGAAAAATTCGATAAAAAATACTGCTTACCTGTTGCTGAATTGTATCACTTTTTATTGTCTTCCTTATTAGATATCTTCCTTATTAGATACTTTATTTTTGATAGTGAAGAAAATATCTTCGTTAATATCGTAAAAAAATACTTTATTTTTTATTGTCGAGACAATAAATTTTCTATAGTTGGCTAAGTGTTTCACGTGACATTACAATAGGTACAAAAATAATATTAATTCACTGACAAGAAGTTAGAACCAAATGCCATCAACTCACAACTCACTTCTCGAACTCGAGGGAATTCGATATTTTAGAGAGACTATCCAACTGCCATCTGACGAGGAAATTACGAAGTAGATTTGAATTCAAATTCTGAAATTAGTTAAACAAATAAAAACAAAAAAAAGAAACAAAAAATAAAACAAATAAAGTAAAGATTTCTAAAACATTTTTTATTACCCTTTTTTTAATTTTTTTCTTTGACAATTTTTTCACTACAAAAGCTTAAAATTGCAACGAATTGATAGCAAAAAAAGTGGATCAAAATCAAAAATTGATGTACACTTTTGGTATCAATTTGATTCAGTTTAGTATAAATTTGCTACAAACATTTTTTTTTTTTTTTATTAAAAATTTCGCTAAAAAAAAAGGAAAAATCAAAAGCGAAAAAATTGTCAAAGGTAAAAATCAAAGAAAAATGTTAAGAAAAGGAAAAATCAAAAGCGAAAAAATAAAAAAATGGCACTTTTTTGGGAAAAAAATGGAACTTGGAGTATTTGCAAAAGATTGACTACCTTATGGATTTAAGAAAGCAGAAGGCATCTAAAAATAGGGGAAATTAACTTAATGAGAGAATGGGTCAATTTTAAAATAAGTGTTGAAACGTAAAAGGCACCTTAAGCAAACTACTTTAAGAACACATTAACTTGGAGTATCGATCAAAAAGAGCGGATTTACAACATAAACGAAAATGCATCCTTGACCTCGTATTTTGTTATCATTACGTCATTATTATCAGGTTTATAATGCCGACGTCGACTTATACGTCATTAATGTCCATTTTTCGAGATTTCGGACATTCGTGATGGGCGTAGGATATTTACCCCTCTGTTGAAAGTTTATAAATAGAAATATAGAAATAAAAAAACGATCACAAGAAACTACTGTATTTAGATAGGTTTTTTTTTAGATTTAAGACTCTGAAAACCTACTATTTTCTTTTTATTAACAACTTTAATGGTTAAAATATAGTTCAAAGTAGTTAATAGTTAAAATAAAAAAATTATTCTCAAAATTTTTTTTTAATTTCTTGAAATAATTCAATTAATTTCAAAAATTTTAAGAAAATGATTAACTAATGGTTCAAATAAAAAAATTATTCTTAAAATGTTCTTATAATTTCTTGAAACGATTCAATTATTTTCAAACATTTTGAGATAATTTTTTCACAAGAATTCAAGTATTTTTGTACAGACAATTAAATTCTTCATTTAAATTCAATTATTATCAATAATCTACCATTTTAATAAAATTTTTTCAAAACAATTCAATTATTTAAAAAAAAACTGTCAATAACATTTTTCTAAAAAATTCAATTACTTTCATAAATAATAACATTTTGCCAGCATATCAATTATTTAAAATATTTTAATAAAAGTTATTGATTACTTCAACACAAATCTTAATAAAAATTTAAGAATTTAATTATTTTCATAGATAATAAACTTCATCATAAAAATTCAACTATTATTTGAATTTTCCCGGAATTTTTCACGAAACAATTGTCAATTCATTAGTAAGTTTCCATTGAATTATTATTAATATAATTTTAATTAGATTATCCACAAGAATTTAATTATTCTTTTAAATTTTTAATAAAACTTTACGCAAGAATTTAATTGTTTTTTTTTAAATAAAATTTTCAACGAAATTGACGAAAAATGTTATTCTGAAAAGTTTTTATTAAAATTCTTCGAAAGATAACAATTATATCTAAAAAATTGTAATTAAATTCCTCGAAAGAAGTCAATTATTTTCCAAATTTTTCATAAAATATAATTCGTCAAAAAAAACTCAATTATTTAAAAAAATTTTAATCAAATTCTTAGAAACGATTAAAATACGTTCACAAATGATAAAATTTTTGACGGAAATTCAATTATTTAAAAAAATTGTAATTAAAATTCGTTGCAACAACATTCAATTACTTTCATAAATAATAAAATTTTGCCAGAAATTCAATTATTTAAAATATTTTAATAAAAGTCATTCATTATTTCAACACAATAATAGAAATTTAAGAATTTAATTATTTTCATAGATAATAAACTTCATCATAAAAATTCAATTATTATTAATACAATTTTAATTAGATTATCCACAAAACTTTAATTATTCTTTTAAATTTTTAATAAAACTTTGCGCAAGAATTCAATTGTTTTTTTTTTTAAATAAAATTTTAAATGAAATTAACGAAAAATGTAATTCTGAGAAACTTTATTAAAATTCTTCGAAAAGAAAAAAATTATTTTTAATAAAATTGTAATTAAATTCCTCGAAAGAAATCAATTATTTTCCAAATTTTTCATAAAAAAATAATCGAAAAAATTCAATTATTTTTAAAAATTTTCATAAAATTCTTAGAAACGATTAAAATATGTTCACAAATAATACAATTTTTTCACAGGAATTTGATTATTTGAAAAAATTGTAATTAAAATTTGTTGCAACAATTCAATTGTTTTCATTAATAATAAAGTTCCTCGCAGGATTTCAATTATTTTTAAATTTTTAATACAATTTCAACTGAATTCATTGAAAATTATGATTATTCCTAAAAATATTATTAATTTTCACAGGAATTCAATTATTTTAAAAAATTGTATTAAAATTCGTCGAAACAATTCAATTCTTTTCATGAATAATAAAAATTTTTCAAGAATTCAATTATTTTAAAAAATTTTTTAAAAATTTTTTGCAGGATTTCAATTATTTTTAATACAATTTTAACTAAAATCCTTGAAAAATGTGATTATTCCAAAAATTTTTAATCAAAAATTTTCCAAAGAAATCAATTATTTTAAAAGTTTTAAAAAAATTCTTCTCCAAAATTTAATTATATTTAATATTTACTATTTTAATAAAATTTCTCAATACAATTCAGTTGTTTAAAAAAAAATTCAGTACAATAGTTTCCAAAAATTCAATTATTAAAAATACAATTTCCAAATAATATTTCTAAAAAATCAATTATTTAAAATATTTTAATAATTATCTTCGATAGAAATTAATAAAATTTTCGTTAAATTCCTCAAAAAAATTTAATTATTTTCAGAAAAAATAAACTTCGATAATCGCAAGAATTATATTACTATTAATAAAATTGTAATTAAATTATTCGAAAAGATTCAATCATTATTTTAAATTTTAATAAAATTCGCCGAAGAAATTTAATTATTTTCAATTATTTATTTTAATAAAATTTTTCTTAAAAATTCAATTATTTTTTTATAAATAATAGATTGTTCGCTGGAAATCAATTATTTTCAATACAACTGTAATTAAATTCCTCGAAAGAATTCAATTATTTTTTAAATTTTTCTTAAAGAAGTCTTAAAAAAATCTTAATTATTAACAGAATTCTTGGAAACGATTAAATTACTTTCACAAATAATAAAATTTTTTACACGATTCAATTATACAAAAAAAAAATTGTAATAAAATTCGATGCAAGAATTCAATTATTTTCATAAACAGTAAAATTTTTCGCAAGATTTCAAATATTTCTAATACAGTTGTAAACGAATTCCTACAAAAATGTTATTCTTAAAAATTTTTATAAAATATTCTTTGAAAGACGGCAATTATTTTCAAAAATTTTGATAAAATTCTTTATAATAATAAAATTTTAAAAAATAATCAGTCAATTATTTATTTTTCTATTCAAATAATTGAATTCTCGAAGATCTTCTTCTAATAAGAATTGAATTAAGAATAAATTCCAATTAATATTTGAGAAAATAATTGAATATTAGAAGCATTAAAGTATAAATTTTTAGAAATAAGAATTTTTTTTTAAAGATATTTTCTTTTTTTTCAAACGATTTCTTGAATTAAAATTTTGGAAAATTTTATTTGTTATTAAACTGTAATAATATTGAAATATTTATTTTAAAAATTTATGAATTTAATTTTTCCCTACAAAATTATTAAGGTTTTGAATAATTTTATTTAAAGATAAAAAAAAATAATTGTAGTTTAAAAGAAATACAGTATTGTAATTTTTAGAAAAAGTTTTTTTTTTTAGAAAGAAGCTTGTATATTAAAATATTATTCAAAATTTTCATTCCTGTGGAAAAATAAATTTAGTTACTTCCTTTTCCTAAACACTTGTAGTGTACAACTCAACACTTCGGTAAATTTTACTATTCTATACACTTCTCTATTTAAAAAAGAGTTTAATATTTAAACCAAAGTAACTACACATAAATATAACTTAACGATGAACATTATTGTTAAAAAAACCATTATAAAAGAAAAATATGTTAAATACAGAGTACACATCTACAAAAATATATCTTTAATGGTCAACATACTGTTGAAAAAAAAAATCATTGTAAAAGGAAAAAAATTTTAAACTAAACTTTGCCCTTGGCTTAAAGAACACAACCCTAGAGCAAGTTTAATGGCTAAACAAAAAGGTGAAGAACTCGCGTGCTAGCCATCACCAATTCTTATCTTGATCACCAGTCAGCGAAACTTTAAGTACGCAGTTTTCTTATAATCTAGGCTCACCGAAATTACCTATTTAAATTACATTCATCGTACTGTTGGAATCTTTTTCATTCTTGTGAAATTTGTCGCTTCGTAAAAAACTTTTATATAGACCTATTAAAATGTGATAAATAATATAAATATTGCGACATATCTTTTTCATTTAATCAAAAAGAGGTGCGATCGTTTATTCTTTATTTTAAACTTTCATTAATATTCAAAGAGAGAGAAAACGATTTTTATTTTTTGCACTCATTCACTAACAAAAATTTTGGGATAAAAATATTTATTTTTAATAATAAATTAAAAGTAAATAAATTAAAATAAATAAAAAGCTTATTTTGGTGGTAATACTTTGATGTGAGCATCACAAATTTTTTCTATTGTATTCCTATAAAGTTACAAACGTTTAAAATGATTGACAATTTTTTTTTGCTATTACTTTTTAATTTTGTATTTTATTAAAAAAAAATTATTTTTGTATATATTTCTATCATTATATTATGCATTTTAAAAATTTTTAGACTTCAGTTTTTTATAGGAAAAAAATGTTTG